GGGAACCCAGATCAGCCTCCCCCCGTCCCGGGAGGGGTGAAGCCTGAGGCACGAGAACCACCTCTGAAAATTTCTCATGTGGAGCAGGCCTAGCCGCACCACAGCATGAGCCGCTGCCATCATTCCCAGCAGGGACCTGAGGCGCCGAGCGGGGACTCTGGGGCCCGCCAGAACCTCCCGGGCCAGACGGGTAATATTCATCCGTCTGTCCACGGACAATGCAGCACGGAACGTCACAGAGTCTAGCTGCAGACCGAGATAAACCATGCGTTGGGCTGGCTGCAGCTTGCTCTTCTCCCTGTTCACCACAAAGCCCAGACGCTGTATGTGGGACAGGACCCAGTGCGTGTGGCTCGGGGCCACTTCCCTGGATGGGCCCAGTATTAACCAATCGTCTATATAGGTTAATATTCTTACCCCCGCACGTCTGATCGGCTCCAGAGCTGCTTCCACACATTTGGAAAAAGTCCGAGGCGCGAGTGCGTACCCGAAGGGTAGACGGCAGTACTCGTAATTCCTCTCTCCCACTGCGAAGCGCAGAAACCTCCTGTGTTCTGGCACTATGGGCACGTGGGAGTACGCATCTGTCAGGTCTATGGATGTCATCCAGTCTCCTTCCCTGACACACTCGAGGAGCTGCTTTGTGGACAGCATCCGAAACTGCCGTTTGGAAATGCACTCGTTTAACACGCGCAGATCCAGAATGGGACGCACCCCGCCTGATTTCTTTGGCACTAAGAAGTAAGGGGAGTACAGCCCCCTGGTGGCATCCTGCGGGTCTACCTCCACTGCTGCGCCTCGACTCAGCAGAGAGGAGACCTCCGCTTGTAGTGCCTCTGTCGATCCCCGTACCTGAGAGCGTACTGCCCGTACGCCTCGGAATGGTGGTGGCTTTCGGAAAAATTGCAGTGCGTAACCTCTGCGCAGAGTTTTCTCCAGCCAAATATCTGTCAGTAGGCCCTGCTCTCTCCAGATGCTGTAGAAATCTGTGAGGGGCGGAACGGGAGCTGGAACACGAGACGTCACGGCCCCGCCCTCTCCTGGTGTTCCTAGCAGGGAGGGGGGGTGGCTGAAAGGGCCGGGGGGGCCCCTGCGTCACACCGTGAGCGCCGAGGGCGGTCACGTGTTCTGCAGGCCCGACGTCATAAGTACGGGACTGCTCACCACACGTGACCCGGCTGCTGTGCCCCCCCCTGGCTCTTGCCTCATGGAGGGGGGGGCGAGCCCCTGGAGTGGGAAACCCCGTGTTAGCCTTGTAGCTCTGCTCACCACACGTGACACGGCTGCTGTGCCCCCCCTTGGCTCTTGCCTCATGGAGGGGGGGACGAGCCCCTGGAGTGGGAAACCCCGTGTTAGCCTTGTAGCTCAGAGATGCTAACACGCGTTCGGCTGGAGCACACACATTATCACTTACCAGATCCCTCCGCCTGCCCTCTCTCCGGGAGGGCAAAACATGAACCCGTGAATCGGAGCCCGTGGCCCGTGGCCCGCATAGCACGCTGCACGCCCTTCTCTGGGGGCTGCAGGCCTAGCGGAGCCACGTTATATGCTCGAGAAGTAACACAATCAGAATTCAAATCATTTGACATGTTACATACCCCCAAATGAGACTCAGACAGCGAGTACTGATGAAATGCCGCACGGCTTTTATTGAAAGAATTCTTCCCACCCCGACCTCCTCTGCCATAGGGAGGTCGTCGGTGGGTGCGTTGGTCCCGCGAGCCTCCCGTGTGCCTGTCTGGGCCCGGGGGCCTCGTCGCTGGGGAACGATGAACCACGGAGCGTGGATATGGTCCGGGGCGTCTGCCGGGCGAGCGCTCCCTGCCTCTGTCTCGGCTCCGCACTGGTGGGCGTGCCTCGCGTCTCGCAGCTAGATGCTGGGCTAGGCTAGCAGAGTCCTTAGCAGCGGTGTCCAGCCTAGTTATCAGCGTCTGCATCTCCGGACCGAAGAGTGACGTTTGGGAGATGGGCAGGTCCAGAAGCTGCCTCTTCTCCGCCTCTCTGAGGTTCACCGGCCCCAGCCAGAGGTGTCTGGCCCCCACTTGTGCTGCTGCCATCGTGCGGCCGCCATCGACAGCTAGCGCCTGGCACATGCGCAAGATCGCTGCTGAAGTGGTCCTCGCCTGGGATAAGGTGTCTCCACTGAGCGCCTGGCCAGAAGAGAGAGACCTATCCAGGGCCCCGGTGATGAAGGCCATGTTGTTAGCCACCGCGACGACCTGGGCCGCATTGGCGTAACATCTATCGTGCATCGCCAAAGACATCCTATCCCGCTCGGAGGGAAGGAGAGGTCTAGGATGCGGAGGGGTGCAGGGCCGCTCGAACCGAGTCCTCGATGTCCGGGACCCCGCCGGTCCAGGACCAGTCCTGCACGTTACAATACATGCCGTACCCCAAAGCGGGCCTCTTGGCCGCTAGGGGCTTTGGCCACTCACGTGTCGCGTAATGGACGATCGGGTCCATACGCGGGCACAACGTGGGCTGCGCTCTCCTCCTCCCTCGAGTGGTGGCGTAACCAGAGGTGAAGTCCTCCACCCTCTGGTTCGGTTGCGGTGGCAGGGGGGCATCCATGATGGCCGCCGCCGTGGAGTAGAGCCCAGGCATGTGGTCCAGCGGGAAGCGGTCCGGCTCCGGGTTGGACACCACCTCGTCCAGCGTGAGGAGAGAGCCGACCTCCGACACCTCTCCGTCCTGGCAGTCACCCCACTCCGCGGGCACGGGTGGGAGGTCGAGGGGGGCCCAGTCAGTCACAGACTCCTCGTCCTGAGAGGAGTCCGGACGGGGCGCTGTAGCGGCGAAGAACGCGCGCCTGCGTTCACTCTCCTCCCTGGGGAGAGCGAGACACGAGGCGCAGGTGGCGCTCAACGCCGCATGGCCCGAACCCAGGCACACGAAGCAGCTGGAGTGCTGGTCCTTGCGCTGGAGCTTGACCCGACAAGTCGAGCAACGACGACGTCCGACGCCGGATGGCGAAGGGGAACTCGGACGAGCATCAGAAGACATCTTTCCTCAGGTAAATTGAAATGTAGATCTCAATCGGCGCCAGAGTGAAAGAGGGGGTACGGCCTTGTGCAGGGGCATTTATAGAGGAAGGTGACTGGTGATTGGAGCAAATTATTTTGAGCTCTCTGGCGCGTGACCTGGGGGTCACGAGTGATATCCCACTAGCGAAGTCCTAAGGGACGTAGCACCATGACGTAGAACATACTGTATTCAATATGATTATATTAGTGTGTTCAAACGAAATATTTAATTAGATCAAGTTTTTTCCCCATTCTGGCGGGTTTCTGCGCATGCGCAAAGTCAGATTTGGGCACACTAGCAGTGTAGTTTCACAGGAGCAGTGGACTGCTTAAAACAAACTTTACACGAAACTCTTACTCTAAAAGCACACATATCACAACACGGAACCATCAACATCTCACCTCAAATTGCATTAAAAGTGACATTTGTGTCTTAATTTGTTCATATTTAACTTTAAAGGAATTCGCGGACTACATGTTCGCCATTTTGGATTGCTTTGGCTGCAGTGAGACGCGCAGCGCTGGTTTGCATTACATCATTAAAGTGGTTCTCACCCACGCTCCTCTGAGCTTACGTCACTCACATTTCCTGTTCAAATCTTCCTCTAAATCGGCGTAGCCTGGAGGACTAAAGGGGGCGTGAACGAGACTGGGCCGTTTACATTGCTCTGGGCGGGGGGCTGCTGACGTCAGGTCTTGCTTCAGACGTCAGGTCTTGCTGCCGCGCCAGTGTTGGCGCCAGATTCAAAATTCAAATGTAATAATACAGGTCGCCAGCAGATGGCGCCTCACAGACGGTTTTAGGCAGAAAGTTTAACTTTTAACTAATTTGCACCAAAGTGACAAAATTATGACCAGGATATGTAGACAACACTATTGGACACTCATTTATACCGTTTATCAGCAAAAAAAAGTGGATTTGAGGGTGAGTTGTCCTTTAACAGCTGAGCCAGATCATCTCGACGGGCAGACCAACTCGACAGAACACCGGCATCTAACAATCCTGCCGGCCTATGACCCCTCACCCAGACCACTCAACAGACCCACCCCAAACCACAGACACACACACACGCTCTCATGAACAGACACACACACACACACACACACACACACACACACACACACACACACACACACACACACACACACACACACACACACACACACACACACACACATCTCATCTCATCACCACCCGAGATGAGATGGATACATCTCATCTCGGGTGGTGTAGGTAGAGCAGGGGCGCCAAACTCATTTTGGTAAGATGCTGAACCCGCAGGGTAATTTTGATGCAATAAGTAATAAACAAACTTTCCAATATAACGTTGTGATCTTGGTGTATTATCTGAAAAAGGTCTGTCTCATAAACCACTTAATACCAATGACACATGGGCAGTTAGTACTTGGGACTTATAAAGGAAATCTTTGAAAGGCGTGTCGGGCTGTTTTGACGATTTGAACGTTACTACTGTATAATCCTCTTTTATAATGGAACTGAAGAGAAAAGTCTCATTTCAACTGTGTACTTTGAACTAAACCTTATCACAGAAGATAAATAATTGGCAAAGCTTATACAACAATGCTCGCTGCAGAAATTGTTGTATCTGTTGTAACTTTAATATTGACATAGTTTGATGGCTGTGTTCAAGCACATTTTGACTGCTTCAAATACCTTTGATTGGATTTACATTTTTGAACATTTTAGAAATCTTGTGGAATTGTTTAAAAATATAACATTACAATAACAGACATATTGAACTTTGTTTCCATAGAAAACTAACTGTTTATTTGAATGCATATAACTTACCACAATTGGGTTAATTCTTTATTCAAATTTGCCATATTTTAATGGTAAATAAAATGGTATTTGAACAGACCTGGCCAAAGAGTTTATTGAGGTAGGCAACGTAGGCAGCTGCTACAGCTGAGCTGTTGCTGAGGCTTCTTTTTCCACGTCGATGTTTTGTCCCCTCTTCAGTTGCGTTTGTCTCTTTTGACGATGATGGAGACTTTGTGCTGGAAAAGACACACATCTGAAATGTTATCACCATGGCACAAATATTTAGTTCTTTTGGTTAGATTAAGTCTTTTTGTATTTACATTTTAACAAACATCAGTTCATTTATCAGTAGAGTTTATGTAAATAACGCCACAACATTTTAGATTCAAACAAAAATCTAATGAAATGGAGGTAATACATAACTGTTACTCCACTTGCATATCTGAAATTGGAACTGGTGAATTTATGTCAATGAATTTGTATTCTCTTCTTCATTCATCTGTTCCCGAGGCTGTGAGTATGGACAATGAAACTGAAAGTAACTAAAAGTATTAGAGCGCAGAAACAACTCCACATGGTGGAACGAAAGGAAAGGATGCAAAGTTTATGATCTGACACATTGTCCACCTGACTGAACTGATGTCTTAATTAATGTGTGAAATAATAACCAGAATTTCTTGGTGATGCTGAGCTGCAGGGCTTTGTTTTTGAATCTCCCATTGATGGGTGACTTTCCAGCGGCAGGTCCCCTCCCTCGCGTTGGCGTGCTGCAATGGAGAAAATAAGTGTATTTGCTGGTGTGTGATAAAAATGCCTCCTATAAAACATAAAATAAAAATGCCTCCTATAAAACATAAAATCAACCATGTGTTGATATGTTGTATGTGGGGTGAAATGTATTGTAACAACAAAACATACACATTTACACATATCACGCCCCAAGGACATTATATTAATGCAATAACAATAAAACATTGATGCGACACAATATATTTCCCCTGCCCTTTGTCAAATATTTTTTGTTCCATTGCAAATAAATGGCATGTGATTTTTATAAAAAATCTAATACCATTTAAAATATGACTTGACCAACAACCGGAAATGGTGAAATCATTAATAGTGGAAGTAGTCCTCTGCTATCACGAATTAAATGATTAAATTGGGATCTGTGAAATATTAAACATGATATTTGTGGTATTTGGTATCAAGTGGAACTACAATATGCAACTGACCTGGTGGATTGTGACGGTGGTCCTCCTTTTGTAGTTTTTAAAGACATCTGAAGAAATATTGACAATTTAAGAACAAAAATAGTAGTGGTATTCATGCAGGACAAAAGTGGGATCAGAATTTTTTTAGAGAGGTGAATGACAAAACTCATGGCTACTCTGAAGAGACCGTTATGGCAACCCATTTGAGCTTAGATTTATGTTCTGTCATGCCCCTCTGCAGTTTGGACATCAGTGTTTGACAAATGCCTGTTTGCTGAATCAATGGGCGAAAGTTTTCCACTGCACAGAGCATAGGATCCGCTTCACAAGGTGCTACTTAGGCCACACACACACCCTAATGAGAATAGACGCAAGGAACAGGCAGTCCTTTAAATTACACCCATGCATTTATCGTGGTTGTCGACAAGCCCCAATCCCAGCTCCCACTAGGCCTCTAAATCGTGGCCTGACTGAGTAGTGATTGCCTGTCTGTCACACATTCACACAATCAGTGCACATGCGATACACGTTGATTGCAGCATGCTCAGAGCATGCTAAGCTGCATGGAAGGAGGAGAACAAAATCAATGCCATGATTAAAGGCACTGATATTACTCTCCAAAGAAATAGAACTGAAACTTCCAGAGCCAACCATCGAGAGTATACACCTTTCCTTTCATCATTCCATCATTCCGCTCACAGGACAGTGCTTTTTCATTTCAACATGTTGGCCCAGGAAACAATCTGGACTTTTGCTTGCAATGGTCACACTTAGTTTGCATGAAGAATTGCACTCTTCAGGGTAAACAAACCCCCAACACAAAATGTATGATGCACAAGTCATTGAGCCGCACGGTACGTCTGTAGCAGACCTCCCTAAGTGACCAATTTCTGTCAATCAAGTTACAAACTCCAACACTTTTTGCTCCTAAACTCGCTAATTAAATTATTGAAATGGAAACCCCAATAGACTGGCTGAAGTAAACAGATTACTGTGCCTCATTATCTGGCACCACAACAATCTGCCATTTTTCTACCCTGCTTTTTGCTATAGATCATAATGGAAATGCCAATGAACATATGCACTGAATGAACAGATACAGAACATGTTTTTGCTGTAGCATATAACTTTGTCACATACATTTTTTCTGTTTTCACGTCATTGTCCCATTTGTCTGCTTGTTCTGAATAAAGTTAAACCTGAGATATACAAAGGCATTATTCGGATCCATAAACAATTGCTCATAATGCACTCAGTAACGGATCTCCATCTTATCTTCCCTTCCCACCACATCAGCCACCCCCCTCCCTCCCATACCCCGACTGCTGATTTTGTGTCATGCTTTTGAAATGAGTTGACTTCAATATTGTAGTAGATAACACAGGAAGCCTGGATACAATGATCTCTCTCTCTCTCTCTCACACACACGTCCTATTATGCAATCCTGTTTTTTCCTTCTGATTACATGTTTATTTAAAAACAAATGAATTAGGGTTGTGATATTGTGAATAAGCAACAGTGTTGATCATAATCATATTTGAATTATTGTTGGCAGTCACAAACAAAAAATTCAAACATGACACAGTACCATAGATTTGTCTTTATGCAACCCAAAATAATAATACAAGATAAATATACCTTTATTTCACCTTCATTTTACCACAATAAAAAGCTAATGGAATCTTTCTAGAACTGTTCAGGAAAGGTAATCTTTATTTTACTCAAATGAGATACTAGTTTTGATTCTACTTTTATAATTTTGAAATAACAAATTAATAAATCTTGCCCTCAATACTTTGAACAATGCTAGTAATAATATAAAACGTAGTGATGAAAGAATGCTTACCTCCTAAACGAACACAAAGTTGTGTGTTGTCCCGACTGTGTGCCAAGGTAAGCTTACCTACACAATGGACATTACTCATATAAGGATTAAATGATGAAAGGGGATTATCTAGCTAAATATGTCTGGATTAAACCATGGCAATCTCTGTCCTGGACAAGGCCAGTTTGTTTTTACACCTGTGTAACAGAACAACGCTCATTTATCTTTTTAACATTGAAACCTCATTTCTCTGTGGTGTGTCATCTCCTTTAACAGACTGTTCCTCAGGTCTTTAAATGACAAAAATCACTGGTGGCTGTTTGTTACGACCAGGGAAGGATTTAAAGGATTTCAGCCCCCTGCAGCCACCTTCTTTGGATCCATGCTGTTTATTGACGTATGACTTGTCTCCAACCTGTTCTAATGCAGACAACCTCAGCTCAAATGAGTCCTGATCTCCTTCTATTTTACCTCTTCTTATCCCCCTCACCCACTCTCATAGCCATCTAGATGCACAGAAATACGGTTGATTTCTTTTGTCAGGTTTTCTTTGGTTGAAGAGGGAGCAATGAATTACATGGGGATAGATTGACTTTGTGCCAGGAGAGATTTCACACACCTCAGACCAGATGCAGACTGGCTACTGGTCCGGGATACTGTAGGTGCACACCGACTGTGTAGTTTGCCTCACACACATAGTGCTGCTGCCCCTTGGCATTTGGTTTGTTTTGCTATGTTTCACTGCGGTCACTTGAAGGTCGAGTTACAAAACTGCTCCTGAGCTGTGGCTTTAGAAAATGTGTCACATGTCAACAATAAACAAAAACAGTGACGACTGCATGTGTTTGTCTGACAGAAAGTGAATTCTGTTCTGTAGGTTTTCTCATCTGGCTCTTTGTGTTTTACGTTGATGCAGCGCTGCAGAGGTAAATTGTGGGGTAGCACTTTTCTTTGAGATCAAACCTCTGTTACGCTCAAATATGCTTAGTCCGTCTGACTAAAGTCCTTATTAAGCACTTTGCTTTTTCAAGAAGTGAAAACTTCATCCTTTTAGATTCAGAGAACAAAAAACAAACAAGGCAGCCCAATGATGTTGAATTTCATGCTGCAGTCAGTTCCCTGTGGAGAGTGGACCTCTGAATTGTTGACTTTACTTTATAGTTTTGAAGTTGGCACAGTTTGTATTGGCTCTGGGCCAGCAGCGTTGAACGGATTAGTGGGATAGTGAATAATGTGCAAATACACAACAGGAAGTGTGTTCATATTTACTCTAAACTAATTGTCTAATTGTGTTTATGCGCTCTTCTGTCTATTCCTATGTAATTAAAATCACATTATTCCCTATTATATTCTGGTTACAATAATTTGAATAAGGTCCATTGTAGTTAGTGCTCATTAAAAGTGAATTTGTTCTTTATCTTTCCCATGTGTGTGCAAAGTGCCAGTGAGTGTTAGTGTGTATAGGGAGTGGTCTTGCCGTTAATGGCATGTTCACTTATTGGTGACTGATAACGTCCTATCTGTATCTAATTGCCTGTGCAGCTGCCTCATTAAGCACAGCGTGACATGATGCCAAAGGGTTGCAGAAGCAGCGTCCCGCTACGAGACCCACCACCATCCCCAGCATTTACTGTCTCCTTTTACACAATACTAATCATCCTTGTCTTTTCCATCAAATTGACTTTTGCTTGCTTGAGTTGCCTTATGATTTAAACTTTATTTTTGAAATCTTGTTTAGATCTAGACTGCAAAATGCAGTCACCTTCACAGTCTAAATGGGAGCAGCCCTCTCATGTCACACATGATGACCACTGCCTTCGGGCCAATACCCCTCATCGCCCCTGCTGCCGTTTTTATTTATGAGAATATGCTGATGGAGCAGACCTGCAGAAGAACAAATATTTCTGGTTACGGTGTGAGGGACAAATGCCTAGAAATTGAATTGCTAAGGAGAAATGATGAAAGAGCACACATAATTAATCATTAAGCTGTCATTTGGGCTAAAAAAGCAAAGCCATTCATCAAAACAGAGCAGTGAAAATAAATGAAAGGGTGAACAAGAGGAACAGAAAGAGAGGACAGGGAGGAATATGTACGGTACAATCTGCACAGAATCTAATTGGGTCAGTGGCAAATAATGTGGTGTGTTAGTGCTGAGCTCAGAGCAGCAGCAGGCTGGTTCCAGATCCACATCTACAGCACACTGATTCAATACACCACAAAATAACACAGTAAGTGACTTGACTCCGCTCATTAACTACCATATTGACTGGTTACATGAAATGCCTTTTCCCCCATGCTCCGATTGTGTACTTTCCACAAAAACTGCATTTATATGTGACCTTTCGTCAGTTGACAGATCCAAAAAAGAGCAAAGGAGAGAAATAAAATCAACAAAGAGCCAGAATTCAACCAGCGGCTATATCATTCAGTCAGCCTGTCATCGTTCTTGACAGGGGTCATTCTTTTTGTTGTGTTATGGTCTGGGTCTGTCACATAACATTACAAAACCAAAATGTGGTGCCTAACTTTGGACTGGGGCTGAAAAAAGGGGCTTTTTATTGAAGGTACAGGCCAATCCCTAGTATATAGTGGAATGTTTTGCACTATGTACAATTAGACATAGGGTGAGAAGAGAGAGCTGCTTTTCACTTGAAACCCATATTCACACAGGGATAAACTTGGTGATGAATTGCAGCAAGACAAATAATCCACCTTGACAGAAAAACTCTCTGCCAACTCCACGAATGACAGTCTCCTAGAGCACACGGCACACCTGTGTCACCAACTGCCACCCAGGGGGGGAGATAAACTGTCACGAGCCACTGTTTAGACATTTACCTGTCAACTCCATAACGAGATGTGCTTGATTTATGTGTATTGCATCAAGCCTTGGCGACCCAAGATGTCTTCCCTCTCAAAGGGATGGTCTTTGCTCATTGGCGTATGCTCGCAAAAGATAAAAAAGTTGTGTATCAACTATGAACAATAAGGCTGTAACAATGTCCAAATATCACGAAATGATGTGATCTCACAATACAATAGTTATTGCGATATTGAGGTATTGTAAAATAGCTCCCAACATTGTGTTTAAGTACAAAGCTCTGAAAGTTCCCTAAAGAAAAAAAATCTTGTGCGCACAAGATAATAATTTTGTCTTTTGGTAGGTGCGCCGTCTTGTGGTGAAACTGTTATTGTACTTTCCATGTCTTGGCCTTGTCTTGTATTGGTGTAGACAGAGGTGTCCAAACCTGTCCAGAAAGGGCCGCTGTGGCTGCAGGTTTTCTATCAGACCCAGCAGGAGCAGAGCAGACTCCACCCATTTAATCAAATCTTCAGGTTAAGATTGAAGTCACTTGAGGAAATGGGAGGAGTCTGTGCTGCTCCTGCTGTGTCTGATAGAAAACTTAGAAAACTCTGATAGCAGCCACAGCGGCCCTTTCTGGACCGGTTTGGACATCTCTAGCGGTTCCTACAAGTGAAAAGACTTTAGCAGCTAATTCCAGCACAGACCCCGAGAAGAGCAGGTCCAGCTCCAAAGACCTCTGTAAAGGAGCCCTGGGATATTACCCTCCATCCATCCATTCATCCATTTTCTACCCTTTAATCCATTTCTGGGTCAGGGGGGTGGCAATCAGAGATGCCACCCAAGTCTCATAGCACCAGCCCCTCACTGACCCTCTGCAGGTGGTGAGTCTACAGGAGGACGGCTGCTCTCTGAGTGTGAGCATAGCCTTGATCTTTCAGTGGGGGCTTTTTGGGCAAAGTGGGGTTAAGTGTCTTGCCCAAGGACACAACGACAGCAGTCATCAGTGGGAGTCGGTGGAGAAGGTGTAGAGGTGGGAATTTACCCTCCCAGTTAGTTTAAAACGATAGATAACTTTTTCCGTTAAAAGTGTAGTTAAACTGCGCTGTCTTTGGCGTGTACGGTCAGCAGAGGCTGACAAGGAGAAGTTTCTTGGAGAGGATGGTCTTGTCCCAGTATGAGCAAAAACTGGTTTCACAGCGATGCCCTGTGATGAAGTCTGTAACCTGCTAAAACTAAAGCAGGTTTATATTTGCCTTGAGCCTGAGATGAGTCGATTCGAATCTCACTGTTTGGCTCGTTGAACCCTCCAGTTGATTACTTTGACATGGGTAGCAAGGCCGATCTTAAAACTATGCTGCCGAACGTTTGTCCGTATGTAAACAATACATTGGACCTTGAGTTACCCAATGTTAAAGATTACTGTAAAGATACTCCCTTATATTGACAGTTCAGCTCCAACAAACAGACATACCAATAAACTCAGGGTAATACAGGAGAAGAGTACACTAAAATAATGCTGACGGGATCTAAATTTCACATACAGTTGACCAGATGTGCAATTTATAGATGTGCACACACACACACACACACACACACGCACACATGCACACACACACAGCTCTATGTTTGTGTGTGTGCCCTTGCAATGTTTGTACTAAATTCAATGTTTTGATATATTAGAATCTTCAAACAGCATGTACTCAGTCCTCATCTTTAAAATCGTATTCTTAAATTCACACATTGCTAGTGCAGATAACCGCTGAACTTAAAAACTTTGGAGGGCAAATGCAGGAGAAGATGAGAAACGTCTTTGATCTGTGCATCTATCTGAGCATCAATGCAATTTCTAATCTTATGCATGAAATGTTGAAACTTCAGCATCCTTGTGCGTAAATGGAGGTGTACTTAATCTGAAAACCTTGTGGGTGGATGGGAGGGCCAGCACATTTAATGGAAAACCTCCTGCTTTATGTTGCCGTACTGGGAACAGATTATCATGCCATGCAGAAGGGCAGCTTGAATTCTCCGACACAAATTGCTGGTGCAGGTTTTCCCTCCTCCCCCCTTCACATTTATAAGTTGTTTTTTATGTATTATACTGTCAGGAGCATGGCCTGGTCTTTTTTATCACATTGGTATGACATTGTGTGCATAGTTGATTGCTAAGAGAAAGGCGTTGGGGATTTGTTATGTTTAGTTACTATTGCTGTTTTCATTATGGCTTGCTGAGCATCAATATGGCAGGCTAATGTTTAATATATAGATAATCATGAGTCTGAGCTCCTCCACATGTGGCCTGGATATATTGCCCTCTAAATTTCTGAAGTCCGTTCTGAGCAGTTTGTTACCTTCACTGACACAAATAGTAAACATGTCTCTGTCGTCAGGAACATTTCCTATGGCCCTAAAAACAGCAGTCATAAGACCTCTCCTGAAAAAGAGCAGTCTGGATCCTGCGGGACTTCAAAATTATCGCCCCATATTGAATCTGCCATTCATTGGAAAAATTCTTGAAAAAGTGGCCTCCCAACAACTTACTGAATTTTTAACAATGAATAATTCTTTTGATATGTTCCAGTCTGGGTTTAGACCCCACCACAGCACTGAGACCGCTCTAGTGAAGGTAACAAACGACATTCGACTTCACACTGATGCAGGTAAAGTCACAGTTTTGGTCATGTTAGATCTTAGTGCCGCGTTCGACACTGTCGACCATGAGATCCTCATTCAGAGACTGGAGGACTGGGTTGGTGTCACTGGCACAGCCCTAGACTGGTTTAGGTCTTACCTGGAGGATAGGAAGTACTTTGTGGAGATTGGAGACTGTGTCTCAGATCATGTGGCCCTGACCTGTGGAGTACCACAGGGGTCGATCCTGGGACCTCTCCTATTTAATCTCTACATGCTGCCGTTAGGTCAGTTAATACAAAGAAACAAAGTGTCCTACCACAATTACGCCGACGACACTCAGATCTATGTCTCACTGACTGCAGGAGAACATGGACCACTGGATTTGCTCCTTCACTGTATCCAACAGATCAGTGACTGGATGCAAAATAATTTCCTCCAGCTAAATGCAGACAAAACCGAAATCATTGTCTTTGGTCCCCAGAAACAAAGAGAGGGCGTCATTTGTCAACTTCAGTCTCTCTCCCTACTTCCTTCAGACAAGGTCAGAAATTTGGGGGTAATACTGGACTCAGACCTAAATTTCAATAGCCACATAAAATCAATAACATCAACAGCTTTTTACCATCTGAAGAACATTGCCAAAGTTAGAAATATAGTGTCCAGGGCAGACTTGGAGATTCTTGTCCATGCATTTGTCTCCAGCAGGCTAGACTACTGCAATGGCCTGCTTACAGGTCTGTCCAAACAGACCTGTAAGCAGCTGCAGTACATCCAAAATGCAGCAGCTAGAGTCCTGACAGGAACCAGGAAGTATGACCATATTAGTCCGGTCCTCAGGTCTCTGCACTGGCTTCCTGTGGCTCAAAGAATAGATTTTAAAACAGCTCTGCTTGTGTACAAGTCTCTCCATGGCCTTGCACCAGAATACATTAGTGACATGTTGGTGTCATATGAACCGGCCCGGACTCTGAGGAGCACAGGGACTGGCCTCCTGCTGGTGCCCAGAGTGAGAACCAAACATGGGGAGGCTGCGTTTCAGATCCATGCAGCTAAGATCTGGAACAATCTCCCTGAAAATGTGAGGGAGGCGTCTACTCTGTCAATGTTCAAATCCAGGTTAAAGACTGTTCTGTTTGCCTGTGCATACAACTGAAGGATTTTATCTCCATTTCTAATGCACTGCTGTCATTTATTTATTTTTTTTAAATTTCTTGTGTAATTTTGAAAGTTTTAATGGTTTTATTCTTTTGTGTGATTTTAATGTTTTAATTGTGTTTTAATCTTTTGTGTGATTTTAATGTTTTAATTGTGATTCTGGTGTTTGTTTTATGTGATGATTTGTGATGTGGACTGTGAAGCGCTTTGTGTTGCCCTGTGCATGAAAGGCGCTCTACAAATAAACTTTGATTGATTGATTGATGTTTCTTAGTGGATCAATAGAGCACTATTGTACTGTCATGATTCTCTCCAGCCTGACTGATTGAGTTTATTGGTAAACCAAGCAGATCTATGTTGCTTTTTGTCACATCAAATGCTTAACAAGTATCAATTGTAGTGAGTTGAATATGTAAACTTTCTAGATACCCATTAAAATAGTGCGTTGCTTTTAGACTGTTAAAGAAGGGAGTATTCTATAATTGCATTGTATAGTTTCACAACATAATGCACATGCGCAAAAAGTGGTGGGGAATGTATCAGTGAGCAGCATTATCTTGGGTAATTTGCACATAATAATGGATCATATTTTTCTGAATCCTAAAACATGGGAGTATTGATTCACTCCATACAGTGTGGTGGCAATACTGAATTGACATATTTGTGTTGATTATAATGCTCTTCAATCCATTAGATCCATTCTAAATTTAGAGTGTGTGATTGGTGATTGGTGATGTGTGTAGGGGCGACAGTAGCTCAGTTGGTAGAGCATTGGCCTTAAGGCCAGAAGGTCGTGGGTTCAATTCCCACCTCTGCACCTTCTCCACCGACTCCCACTGATGACTGCTGTCGTTGTGTCCTTGGGCAAGACACTTAACCCCACTTTGCCCAAAGCCCCCACTGAAAGATCAAGGCTATGCTCTCACTCAGAGAGCAGCCGTCCTCCTGTGGACTCACCACCTGCAGAGGGTCAGTGAGGGGCTGGTGCTATGAGACTTGGGTGGCAGCTCTGATTGCCACCCCCCTGACCCAGAAATGGATTAAAGGGAAGAGGATGGATGGATGGATGGATGGATGGATGGATTGGTGATGTGTGATTTGTGTGATGTTATAAGACCATCAAAGAACCATCCCTTTCTGTTCATACACTACAGATGGCTGAACATATAGTCTGCGTGTTTATCACCGAGACAGAGAAGCACACTTGCGGTGCACTTGAGAATACATTTAGGCCACTCTATTGGCATGTCCCGCACTTCTTTATGGAAGGAGTTCTTACTGTGCACGGTGTCCATTTATCTCATTTAGTGTTATGTTCTCGTTGCAGATGAATAATCACGGGTTATGGGTAAAGATTTGTTAATGCAATACAGAAGATCAAATCTAAATGAGGTTTCCAAATTATTTTTAAATGTTTACTAATGGAATGCCACGCTTGAACGTACTGTACTCACGTTGCTTTATCCATTCCCCATCTGCTTTACTTAATCCCATGCTCAGCCATGGAGAGTAATGTACATTTCTTGATAAACGGTTATGATTCAGTGATTCTTTTATGTATTTTTTTGCATTTGCAATATTTGTCTGCCAGGAACAACTTTGTCTTCAAATTTGTGAGAAAAGTGGTCTCTGTAGTGCAACAATTGTCCCTGCGCTAAAATGTTTGAAAAGTTTAAGAGCTGACTCATACAGGCTCCGTGGGCAGGAATCAGGAGCCAAATGTATTGGTAGCAATCTAGCAACCAAAAAGGCAATCAGGCTGCTGATCCGTCCCTGCTCACACTGTATGATAGCTAAAGCCAAATTAAGTGCCAAAAGGCCCCTGATTGGTCTGCTCAATCTTAAATATAAAACACCAGGATCATGTGAATGTTCAGCCCGAAATGGTGAAGCTGGAGGAGTTTACTTTTCTATGTAAGTGAGTGGAGCCAAAGCGAGTTGGAGCAAAACCTCTATGAGCACTTCTGTAATAGGCTTTAGAAAAAGCGGGTTTGCATTGTTTCATTTTTTCATCAGTTCTCCTCAGAATACCCCATCTCCTCTTCTGTGCATCATTCTGTCTGTTGTAGTTTTATTGCGTGGAAGGACTGCACAAGGCCACTGGAAGTTGGGCATTGTTGTCTATGATTAATTTCATGGGGCAGGTGTCAGCTGCACTACGAGGGTTGTCACAGTTGGACGCCTACAGTCAAAAACACAGTGCACAGTCAATCGCACATATGCCTGGATGATAATAGCTCTAGTCACAGCCAACACAAAGTAATCTGCTGATGTGACTCATGACTGGCATCTGTTCAGTCAACATTCTCATTTAATTTCCTCTTGTCTTTCAGCCTTGGGTAGATCTTTACTTTATTTCAATTATGTATATTTTTCCCACAGTTATTATTTCATCATTTAGTAATGATGTTGCACATTGGCTCCTGGCTAGGATTATATTATCTTACGTTGTTATCGCCTTCATTTTGGACGGGTCTAATTGGGCAAGAAAGATCCAGTGAGCAGGTTGAATATACATTTTTCAGTCATTAAAATGTTCAGATTAATATTACATTTTACCCCAGTGCTCTGGTGATGTGTTGTGTGGTGTTGTGTTGTTGGGCTATAAATGATGAAATAGTGAAAGTCTTAGGGCCATGGCACACCAATATAGGTTTCCTGTATGAAGGAGGCGGATGGTATTGTGCTGTAGTTTTGGAGCTTGTCATCGGTCTTTGAAGGACGCAGTTGTGTCTCCCTGAAGATGAGACGTCTGTGCGCTCTGATTGGTCATGAGTGTCACTCCAGGCTGCAGACATTGGTGCGTCACAGTATAAGAAAACACCATTCATTAGTACATGCCGCTGTATCACTGTACTAGTAGGTTATCAAGTAGATAATACGACAATAGTCATCAATACTGTATGTCCTGACAAACATTGTTGAAGTGATGTATTGACAGAAAAGGAATCCAATTATTCTTTTGATGAAATACTGCGAGTTGCAAGGCTACACAGACACATGCACAGAACCTTCCTCTTGGCCCAACAGACTTGTTAGGCTCTGTTGGGTTTGGAAAGCAGACGCAGGGCCTGCTTTGCGTCCTTAACAAGTGGTAGAACAGATTTTTTTCTACCATAGACTTTTATTGGAAAACTTGGTGTATGATATTGTCTATTCAAATGCACAATGAAGGGGTGAGCTCAGTTAGTGTTACATTGATGGGCAATCGCCGTGTCTGACCTTGGCTGAACAATCCTGCATAAAGTTTGACATAGGACACGTAACAAGCAGTGGTGCTGAAGAAAAAGTATACATTATTCATTTTTTGTGTGATATTGTCAGAATGTGCTAGGATCTCTAGTGGGACAATTAGTGTTTTCTTTGGGTTGAAAAGAGACTGAATTACATTTATAATCCGATTAGGTGAGATCCGTCTTTGTCACAGATCCCACCATCACACACAATCATGGTTAAATATAAAATGCAAAGAAAAGAGACGTCAATCCCACATGGCATTTCACTGAAAAAGCGTTCCGAATAACATTCAATTTCTTTTCAAGCTTCTCCTTTCGTTCATCGTGAAGTGATTGCTTTCTTATTTCCAAATTGACTCACTTGTTTTTTTTTCCATGTGTTTTTTCCCCCCCATTTCACGCAGTCTTCAAGAGTGTCAGATATGCACCATCTGCAAAACACTGGTGGGGATTTGAAGTGGATACGTCACGACCGAGGCAAAGCGAGAAAGGGAGGGACAGAGGAGGGCTGGGAGAGGAGTGCATGCGATGAACAGACACAGAAAAGAGGGGCAGAGAGAGAGCGAGAGTACAGCGGCGGGAGATATTGACTCCAAGCTGGTCTGCATGCTCCTCAGTGTGTGGAAAAAGGAGGATGTGAGACCAGGCAAGATGCACGGCTGGCACAGATGAAGCTTGTCCCTGGGTATGTGTTCTCTCATTCATTTTGGAGTGTGGTAGCATGCAATTTGTATTCAGGACGCTGGCATTGACTGACTTTGAAAGCAACATGGTCATAATATGTGCACCACAAGAGCCTGTTTTTTATTATCTTCATATGGACTAGAATGAACGCTAAAACCTTTTATGTTTTTGTGACAGACAGAAGTGGAACAGTCGTGGAAATGCAAGTTTATGGAGTTCAGCCTGCTTGGATATTTTTGGATAGCCTCTTAGATCATGGTTGCTGTAGATCAAAAGAGTTTGTATTAGCTTCTGCATAGGCTCAGCACGAAGCACGTTGTGATTTTTGTAACGTAGGACAGTGTGTTCAGCTTCTCAATGAACACTGTGTATTAAGGGGTTTACTCCTGGGCTACACGTTTCATATTATTTTAGTGTCTGTACATATCTATTTATTGTCTGTGTTGCCTGATGGAAACTTGAATTTCCCCTTATGGGATTAATGAAGTATTTGTCTAAGAGTTTAGGCCGTGGGAACATCAAGTGCTCTGTTCAATTATTTCAAACTTGTCTAAATCCTGGATCTTCTTTTGCATCTGGTTCATTTTTTGATTAACTACAGCCTGCAGCAGTTGAGTTAAGAATGTAAATCTTATCAGCCTCTGACTTCTTTAATTGAATCGTATGGAAAATTTAGCAACACATCATTACGCGCTGCGAACCACAATTGCTGGGCTTCCAATTTACTGCCTCCAAAGGGTCATTGAGCACACAAACAATCACATAATTATCTTTCGGCAGACTAGTTTATGGCATAAGTCACAATCTATATTGGAAATATTTCTCACAGCCTGTCTCTAGCATTTGTCATTTGATTTCTTTCACCGTTGTGGATTTGGTCATTGTTGTGCTTATTAATAAACCAACACAGACCAATTACAAAGAGACTTAAAGGTTCTTAGTAATGAACTGGATGGATCAAATGTTAAGAGGTGTTTTAATATATGTATTCCATCTGTGATGTGAAGTTTATTGTTGATTGCTGTAAGAAGTTATCCTCTTTGTTCGACGTGTGCCATGGCATAATAATACAAATACATCGTGGCTTAGTGGGAGAGTAAAGACCACCCTCTTTTAATCACAGAAATCCCCCCAGTGAGCCTAACAATATTAACGTTTGGTTAACTGTTATTGCGTTTCATCAGCTGACAAATATGCTCTGTAGTGAAGGTTTCAGCAGTATTATGTAAAACTGATGACGAGGCTGTGGATCTGTAAGAATAGTGGAAAAGAGATAAGTGTAGGATTAGAGTCAAGTGAGTAGAGGCACATTTACGACTTTACGGCTGTGCCTTTGAATATTGATTCACACTTTATGTTCAGCTGACACAATGAGTCATATTTGAGGTGCGTATTTGAGACAGTTTTTACGATCATACGTCACCGGATAAAACAGGCTTTTACTTTCGTCAGAAGTATTGTGATTTAGTCCGTTTTATGTGGCTGTTATACAGACCAAATAATAGCCACTTGACCACTAGATCTAGCAAATCCATAATACATAACGTACATAAATTTATTCAGATCTGAAAATATAATATATTAGAAATTAAATATGAATCTCCGTATAGAAGCACTCATGCATCTACAGGCTAATCCTGTCATGTAGATGCTTAATATACGGTATATATAAATGATGTATGTATGTATTTTGTTTACCATGACAGTTGCATTTATTGAAACAACAATGACCATTTTTGTTGTAACTTTTCTATTTTAATATGATGTTTTATATTGTTCCAAAGCAGGTATGTCAAACTCAAGCCTGTGGACCAAATCTGGTCCGCAAGACCATTTTTCAGTGGCCCCTATAGTAACTTGCAGCATTGATAGTAATGGGCTACTAGGACATGTTATACTTAATTTTAAAGTTCAGAAAAAAACAATAATATTGAATTTGTTCAAAAAGTTAACTAACGTAGAATTAGAAGTTAAGTTAGGCCCAAGATAAAAAAAATATTTATATTAGAATTATGAATCTTCAATTCTTTTTTTGTTGATTCGGCCCACTTGTGTTTGAATCCAAACCAACCAGAAAATAATAACCAAACTTGAGTCAAATAGAAAAGAATTTGTCAAAATAAAAAAATATGAAAAAAATGAAGACATTTTAAAAGAGTACATTTAAATTAAACATTTTAAAGCATTTTGGGTGGCAGCTCCGATTGCCATCCCCCAACCCAGAAATTGATTAATAAAGGGGAAGTAATGCATCCTCAAAACCGTTCCAAATATGCCCCCCACAGAAACACAATGTTTTTGAACTAGTTTCTAAGTTTGTCTGCTGGAGGTCGGGCTGTTGTTGCTTTCTAATACTTTTGTGCAAGCTTCAATTGCGAAGTCGATAGACATGATTGTGCTTTTGCCTTTTATAGTGTGCCATAATTAATTATTACTGGTTCTCTTACAGCTGTGCACTTGCGTCCACATGAGTGTTTCCAAAGCCCCTCATCCCCCCACCTCCCACCTGACCCTGCCCCCCTCTTCCTCTTCATCGTCGGCACCTTCCTCCTCCGCGACCTCCCCGTCCGTGGCCGCTCCTCCGCCCTCGCCCGTCAAAATCTCTATGCAGGAGCACTTTGCCATCAACGTATGTCCGGGGCCTATCCTCCCCATCCCGCAGATCTCCGACTTCTTCCCCCGATTCCACGACTACCCCTGCACTCCCCCACCGCCCCGAGAAAAGAAGATCCTGAAGGAGGAGACTTTCAACGGTGTGACAGGAGGGTTCAAGGATGGAGAGAGGAGAGCTGAGAACGAAGGCGACAAGGAGGAAGTAGTCGACTCTGATGATGAAGACAGTGAGTAGAACACACACCGTTACTTTTCTTTATACGTTTTCAGATCCAAATTAGTTGTTGTAGAGTTATACATGTTTAAGACTTCTTTCTGTAAGGTAGGCTTGAAGTAGTTTGCTAAAATCATTTAGTCTCTCCCTTGTTTATGCGAGAATGTGACATTGATTATTTATCATCCAGCTCTGCAATGACGTAACAAGGGCTTTTAGGTCCTTCCAAACAGTAATCAAATCAAAAGATCAATTAATGTCAGATATCCCTAGCTGTAAAATGCCATTTGCAATCATCATGACTCAGAGCTTTCTAGTGTGTATGAATAAGTGAGTGCCATTTACTTCCAGTAATTGCTGTGGTTGTGTCCATGCAGCCTACTTGGGAACTTTGGAGTTCAACCTACACTTTGATCAAGACAACAACTGTCTACACTGTACAATTCACAAAGCAAAGGTATGAAAGAGTGCTCTGAGTCACAGTATAATTGTTTCAGGACATGCACCTTCAACCATATAGCATTGTGATGGGTCATTAATTATGTAAAATGTGTACTTATATGCTGCCCTCGAGGTTACCACAGAGTAATTAAGAAGGGATGAAAAACGAGGCATGAAAAGAAATGTCTAGGAGCAGGGATGTAACTACAGTAGCCCTGTCATTCTCTCTCTGTCTTCTTCTGACCCTGTCACTTTGATGTTGTGTGAATAGGCTGCATGACGTTGCACTGAAGCTGCACTGTTAAATATGTGTGTGTGTGTCTATATAAACATCTTTTTGTAACACATATGTTTGTCCTCTTTGTGTCCATAGGGACTGAAAGCCATGGATTCCAATGGTTTGGCCGATCCATACGTCAAGCTTCATCTTCTCCCAGGGGCTAGCAAGGTCACTGCTCCAGCCTTACCTCAATGGCAATTAGTGTAACATACTACCAGATTGGATAGCGCCCACTCTGCCCCAGACAATGACACTTTCTGATCAAGATCTGTGGGTTTGTAACACAATTTATAACCACTGAGAAAACTGTTGAATGTCCCAGTATAGAGAGTACTGCTGTGCGTTGTTTCGAACGACTGAGCTGAGTGCATTTTCAATGGCTTACTGCTTAATGTGGCTCGTTCAATGTTCTGCTTTAGTGAGCAGAAGCATGTTCTGCTCTGTTGCTCTGCTCCTATCTTGTCTTCAACTTAATAGTTAGGAATTGCTCGGAAAGACAGGACCTACAGTTGTATTTTATATCAATCTGTTGTTAGGAGTTCTTCTTGAAGGTTGACTCAAAATGAGGTTATGATAAGAGGGGTAGGATAGTGGGCCAGGAACGGACACCCTCGGCTGCCTGTCCCGGGTCCACAAAGCTAACAATAACAATGTCTGGGGGATTTCGTGTCCTCCAGCTTCCCTTTGCTTTTGTTCATCACTCTCCTTTTCGCTCACTTTTCAGCCTATCTGCGACTGTATCTCACTATCTGACTGTGACCCTCTGTGACCTTGAAATACCAACAGTGTGCGAATAGAAAGAGAGGCAGACAACAGGGAGGGAAGGGAGGGAAGGAGCAGCAAAACGGGGAAGGAGGGAAGGAGAGACGGACGAGGGGAGGACGGCAGCAGGTGGTTGTCATGGAAACAGGGAGGATTGTTACACGGCTCACGTCAACAGGCTCGCATTGACGGCCGAGCGGGGCGACGGTGGGGGCGAGCGTCAATGAGTAGGTAAGCACCCGTGAACCAGAGCTTGTTAATATCCAGCAGAGAGCCGCGTCACCCTAAAAGTGGGAGTTCACGTGTACGCTACGGGCAAATAAGCACACGCCTCCAACGACTCCGCGGTGGGGTGAGTAAGCCACCGTGAACTCGAGCTTGAGCGCAGTCCGGTGAGGAGATATATCTCACTACCACCCTATGCTCTTTGATTATCCATATGCTGTGTAGTTAAATATTCAGCGCACATGATGACACAGAGAGCAACACCAGCAGCAAACGGTCATGCATTTATTCAGTCGTATGAGGCGTGAATCATCTCTCTTTTAACTGGTGTTGAAAATGCAAGGGTTAGTTCATTGAAATTCGACAGCCAGAGATGGCAGGAACGTGTTGCACAAATGACCTGGGTTTATTATTCAAGTCCTCCAGAATGAGTTAACAGTTCCGCAATATATAGGGTGCACAAGATGAGTCATTACTACATAAAACAGACAGGATGGATACATTGTGACATTAACCTTAAGATAAAAAAATATCTGACCAAAGGCTGTCCAGTGTACTGTCTGAAGGTTCAAAATGAAGGGCTTATATATTGCTTGCAGCTTTTCATACACACACTATTTGGCTGGGTTTAGTTTAACTGGGCATAAGCAACAGCAGCCACTTTCTTTGGCTTCTTTTGTGGTTATTTTAATATGGCAGTAAAAATAAAGTACTCACTCTCTCTCCACAGCCAGACAAACCATTTTTAATTGATGGCTTCCCTAAATGATTAAAAATCTTGCATTGCTTGCAAACAGAAAGACATGAACCTTGCACATTTTATACTTACTTGCTTGATGATGGAAAAATCTAGAATCATCAGTGTTATTATATTTTATAATTTGTTTAAAAGACGGTCTAAAGATGTCTGCTGCTTGAAATGAGGATTTCTGAAATTTCTCCACAAGAGGAGGAGCAGGTGCAAAGAGGCAGCAGAGAGGGAGCAGATGCACTCCGTAAAGGTGTAATGGTACACAGAAGGCACTGCAGTATCCACATGGAGTTTATGGCCCCATCTACTATTAACGAATCAAAGAACCAACAAAAGACAACACTTGTTCCCTTTGCGGATTGAGCTCTGGAGGGTCTGAGTCTGTCTGATAAGCCCCCAAGTTTCCAGCTCAGAACGGAGGATAAAAAGGGCTGTGGGGGGGAATGTGGGGGAAAAAGAGGACATGGCAGCCCAGGCAGAACAATGGGATGAGGGGACACGGAAAGAGAGAGAGAGGGACGTAGAGAGAGAGAGAGAAGGGGGGGGGGGCAGAAAATATGAGGGGACAGCATCTGGGCAAAAGCAATGTGTCTGGCAGAGAGGTGTTTATCTTCAACCCCTCAGACGTGAGTGCTGCATACTCAACACAATAGTTGAGCAGAAATATGTCAAGCGTACATGAGCATTTTTGATAATTTGTCAAAGAACATGCAATGGTGAGAGAAATTGATCAATCATGTTTTTTGCTTCGGTAGTCCTCATCAATCCGTGAAAAACAGGTTTTAGTACACACACTGGAAATGTGGTTTTTACTCCTGACCAAAATATTTTCTAATTTGCACATTACTGCCAGAGGATTAGAGTTTTAAGTTTGAGCCGGGACACATTTTGATATGAAGCGCTGGGAGGCACTGGCTGTTGTTGAGCTGTCTATCTAGTTCCTAGAAAATTGTGCAGCTGAATTAATAAAAAGAAACTAATCTAAAATAGTTATGAGAACCTGGGAACCGAAGGCTTGAGCGAGTGGAAGCTGATATATGATTAGAGCCTTTTGCTTTGTTCATTTATTTTGCAGAGCTTAAATATTTCATTATGTAGTATTTTGCAGTTTAATTGGTTGCAGTGCGACTTGAGTGGAGCAGTTACTGGGTGTGTTGGGGCTATAATATTTTGTTTGGAGGAGCAGACTGACAGGTGAGGGATAGGAGCATCCTCTCATTCTCCTCTACTCTCAGCAGCAGATGTCTGGCTCCTCAGGGACACAGATAAATTATGTTTTGCCTCTCTTTTTCGCTCTACTTCTTTCTTGATCCATGTCCCTCACTCTCCTCATTCCTCACATCATGTTTCTGATCCATATTGTTCCCCCCTTTTGAGTTTACCTTAGAAGTAAACCAAAATTTGTTTGTGTCCGCAGGCAAACAAGCTTCGAACAAAAACCTTGAAGAACACTTTGAACCCAGTCTGGAATGAGACGCTGGTGTACCATGGCATCACTGCGGCGGACATGACCACCAAAACACTCAGGTAGGAACTTAACATTCTGGTCAGCAATTAGCTCAATCCCCCAGACTGCACATGACCTCTTTATTACACAAAGGATGAAGACCTGTGGTGAATTCTCGGGTGATCTGGCTCAATTGGCTTCCCAGTGTGCTTTTCCTGGCAATCCCTTATCACTGTTAGCCAATTGGGGCAAAGCAAGGTTTTATATACGGCTTTTTCATATCACCCTGAATGTTTTTCTTCCTTTCTTGTTGAAATCGGGGTCACCTTTCACCTGGGAAGCTCAATTATGGGGGAACAAATGTCATATCAACTATAGGAATCAAAGGTCTTTCATTAGTCTTTTAATTATTTAGTCAGGTTGTGAGTCACAGTCAAGCGATTATGCCTTTGAGTCTGCAAAAAGATCATTTAACAAATTAATCGATCACTAAAATAATTGTCATTTATTTGAATAATTTCATGAAATTGATTGTTGGTACAGATCACAATTTGAAAATAAATACTAAAAGCACTTAAAAAAATAAAAATAAAAATCTGATCATTCTAGGCAATATACTACATTATTAATCATTGCTAAGGTTAAGTCAATTTCAAATTTTGTTGCCGGTTTTGTATCAAAACAAGCACCCATTTAATGCAGATCCTTCCAGATTGAATCACTTTAGTAAATTATCAGCATAATTGTAAACATGATTCAAATGGGATTCATTGCACAACAAACTTGTGGCTCATCATCTCTCACATACAAGAGCCTTGCATAATGGATCAATCAAATGTATTTTACTCAGATTAGTTCCAGACCTGCATAGTGTAGATGCTCTAGGGAAACTGCACACATGTCAAGGGCAATCACCCGCGGACCACAAAACGCGTGGCCCCTCCTCTGTAGATGGAGAGGCCGATTGCCCTTGAGGTGCAGAGCACACATGTTCTCCAATAACATTTACCCCACTCCAAAAGGGGACACATGTAGAGTGCTGCTTGATGAGAGATCTCTTCAGTGGTTAACTAGAGGAACCCCACTTGACCTCCAGCCAAGGACACAGCTTGCAGACACAAACCAGCAGCATGTGCAATGTCTATGCGTAGTCGCAAACGCGGACGAAAAGAAGGAGGAGTGTCAACCAGGAGATGAAAGAAGAACACAGGGGCTGCCAAGAACAACCTGGCACAAGTACGAATAATGTCAAGACGCATACGAACAGGAAGGAAGGGGAGTCTATGGAGGTTGGCAGTCTGGAGCCATGGACAGTAGCCAGGGGTCAGTGCGGAAACGGATAAAGTGATGAATGAAGAAATCTACTTATATCTGTGATAAAAAGCCCAGTGCCAATGCAGGGTTTACTCTAAGGAGAGAAGAAAAGAAGGAAAGAATGAGGACAGAGAGAGAGAGAATTAAGTGAGTGAATGAAGCCGCCGCAGCAGCCGCCGCAGCAGCAGCGATGTGTGATGGGGCTGAGTAGACAGTGCAGTAGACAAGTGGAATAAAACACCCCTGTGCTCAGATCTCGGCACCTTACAGCAGGGGTTCTCAAACTTTTTGTGCATAAGCGACCCTGCCATTGAAATATGTCAGAAGAAAATACTGCACTACTTTTGGCAATGTTTTTTTTTTCTCTTTTGGTTATATCAGAAAGAGGTAGCATTAGTCAGGGCTTTATAATTAACAGGGAAGATAGGTTAGATGTAGTTTCTGTCTTTTTCATTTTGCCATGTTATGCTACCATAACTTCTCGGTACATCAGGTTTATGTCTTCAGCCTAATTCTTCCTTTATATTCAAATATTTCTCTTGAATTTTTTGTCTCCTTGATTATTCAAGGAGACAAAAATATCAATGCAATTGATTGATAGCCCTATTCAATTGATAAAGAATAGAGTTATCTAAATATAAAGAAAATTGGAAATTCCTTTATGACTTGAGTAAAAAGGCGTTCAAAAGCCCAGTACTTCATGGACCTGGTGTTTTATGATTGAAAGTAATATCAAGGTTATTTGTGGACACTCACCACTGTTTTGTTATTGAAACTTGCACACACTGATTTGGTCCCACGCTTCAGGCTGTGCTCCAACATCCCTGAAAGAAAAGAAGAGTGGAGAAAAGCCGACAGAATAACCTAGAGCAAATGTCAAAACGAGGCAGAGGATAGTATAGCCAGCGGGTTTACTATTCTGTCTGTGTGCTAGGTAAATGCATTTTGTATGGGGCTGACTTGCATCACTGTCATGTGCCATTTGAGATGCACATACCATGGCCTTGTGTCTAGCCCCCCCTTGAAGGCAACTCAGCACTGTGTCATTCGGTAAATTAGAAAGACATGTTGCCGGGTGAAATCCTATTAGAGTGTGCTGTGAGTATGCGCTGGTGTAAACATGATATGCGTGTTATTCTAATTTGGTGGTCAAATATAAAAACCTACAATTGCTGAGGTATTTCTCCAGAGAATTGGCCATGGTTAAAGTGTCCTGATTTCAGCCTTGTGATCATTTTTCTGGTCTTTTCCCTTTTCCTCCACACAGGAAAGAGAGCTAATGCCAGAGGAGCTGGATGGTAAGACCTAAATTACAAACAGTGAAGAATGTAGACATTAAAATCCATCTATCTATTATATTAGTGTTCACATGCATGACCTGGCCATGAGCAAATCCATAGAGCTGCTATTTCACATACAAAAGTGACTCAGGGTGAATTATTGCACCATGCAGCTCTCAGCCCCAGGTGTCATATAGTGACTTACATGCCTCTTCTATACAATATGCGACAGGTCAAGTTACTACTTTTGTGAATTGTGTGGATGATTATTATATAGACAAAGTTTTTAGTTTATATTTGCGAAGGGGAAAACATAATTTATTAAATGCTCACTAACAATGTTGCTGCCTTAAAAATGCCTTTTGCTTCCTTATTTCAAGTTAAAAATATTTTGAGAGAGTTGTAAATATTCTGTAGCTAACAATTATGGGATAAAACCATAGACTGTATTTATCAACGGACGTAGTCACGCCAAACTCCGCTGTTCAAACTAATGGGCCAAAAATGTTGCTCTACTGGAGCTATCCAAAATGGCCGCGAGTGGTTCCGCCCACAAGAAAATTGTGAAAAAACCAACCATATTACTTTGAACAAAGTGAGTAAAAAAAAATCCTCCTCACCACATATCCCTTTACACAATATATGTAGATAATTATAATTATAGATCCATGATGTAGACAGTGGAGTGGTGGTAAACATACACAGCATTAACTTGGTGCCTTCTGATCTCCCTACACTTGCCCATACCCTTAAGCAAATCTCCATAAAGAACATTCACTAAAGAATGATCTGATTAATCTGAAAAGGGAACATTGTCACTTATGCTTGACAGAATTACAAGAAGCCTTCAAGGAGTTTGACTACGATGCAGATGGCTTCATACATTACAAGGACATAGCAGACTGTATGCGGACTATGGGCTACATGCCGACGGAGATGGAGCTGATTGAGATCATCCAACAGGTCAAGATGAGATGTGAGTCTTTCACAGGATCCAGTTAAAGACATACATTGTGATTTTAAGGTATTTAGTTAGGATCGTTCATGATTCAAAATATGTTATGTAATATTGTGAATTGAATTGAGGCGCTATTGCCTACATTGAAACACATTAGATGGCTCTGGTGTGGGTAGGTGCATGATTTGTGATGTTGCCAGTCTGTCTGACATTTCAGCTGTAAAGCGTTCAACCATGTAGGTAAGATGGGTTAGTGTTTGCCTGACCAGCTGGGCTCTTCTTCATTCGGACACTTTAAGAATATAAAGTGGTGTGGTTTTGGCAGGTCAGATTAAATTAATGTTTTTATTTTAGAATTTGGTTTATATGTTTTATATTTCACAAGACAACTTATTCTTAGACCACTTACACTGACAAAAGAATACAGATTCAGAGACATATAAATTAAATAACACATTTTAAAAGCCAAGCTCACTTGATTGAATTATTGTAACAAGAGCTGTGATTGGATTGTAACAATGCTGTAAATGATCATGTTAACTATTTCATTATGAACTTTAAAATTGTTAAAGCAGCATCTCCTCTTCATGCAATTGTGAGCTCATTGTGGAAATAATTTCGTAATTTTACTCTTAATTGATAATTGGGGAATGACGCTGATAGTCCTGTGGTGGAAACTATTAAAGATAGTACAGCAAAAGGATTATGATAGAGTTTCAATACAACATTCAATTTCACACATCACTTTGATTATTAGTTTATAGAAAGAGACAGTATTATCCCACCGGATCAGGGAGTGAATAAGGCAGAGGTGGATCTCAGCTGCGCTCCTCTGGGACCAGGGCCAGCTGGTTTCAAGCCCCATCATTTCCAGATTAAATCGTTAGCCAGTAACAGCAACAGTGCTGGAAAACAGAACAAGTTAAAGAGTAGAAACTGGGTATAAAATATAAACTTCTTCATGAGACAGTCTACTCTATATTAATGATCATCTACTGTTATAATAAGTACACAAGTATACGGATAGAAGTCCATTGTACACATTTTCAGTGGTAAGTACCCTGAGGGAACATACACAGACATGGGGAGAACATGCAAACTCCACCCATAAATTTCATGCTGCTAGAAGAGAGCTCTTAGAAACGCTGATGGAGGACATTCATAATAAATTAACTAAGACTGATTAATCATGTGTAAACACAGATAGTTGAAAAGTTCATCTTGCCTCTCATGACGCTATTAGATTAGATTCAGCAAGTTTTTTTTTGGTATCTTAAATCTCTCTCTTACTCTGATATTAGATCCATGTCCATGATGCAGCACCATGAACAGCTCCTGAGTCTCACACACTTTTATCTATGGTCAATATTTCATTAGTGATCGAGTTTATAACTGAATATGTATACAAAATGCTGATACTGTAAAGCTGTATGAACACAATATGTGTTTACGCGCAATTTACTTTTCACAGAAGTTCGATTATTTTATTCCCATCTAAGAAAACTGAGGAAAATATCAAGTTTAGATTACAATGATTCATTCAGATACGGCGTTCTAGCCAAACCTAGACCTATTTATTTTAGGTACATGTATTTGTATTCAGAAAGCAGCTTTAAAGTGCTTTAAAGTGACATACCTGCTGTACCCGAGTCCGTTATGTTGACGCTGTTGTGATTGTTTATTAGCAGTTGGATGTTAGCAGTGCTAAGCTAGGCCCCGACACGTGGAGCGCGTGGCGCACGGACCATGGATCTATAATAATAATAACACGGACTTGTACCCATGCACACTCGGAGAGGATGGACTTTTATTTAAAGTGGGGTGGACAGGGAAATAGTCTTATGACATCAGCATTTGAGTTTGTAAATGTCAAACTGGAAAAAAGAGAAAACCAGAAGTTTACACAATAGTGTAACTATATAAATCATATTTCCATAAACATCAATCAATCAATCAATCTTTATTTATAAAGATCGCTTTTCCTACTCAGGACAACACAAAGCGCCTCACAGTCCACAACACACAAGGCACAAATCATCACCATTAAAAATATAATTAAGAACACACAGGTTAGGTACATGTAAAAATGATGTATTTCTCATGATTTACGTTAGTTGTTTTACCAACAGTGATTCAATTCCCTCTATAACAAAAACGGTAATATTCTGAATGGATTATTTGTAAAACTATACGTTCCTCAAAGTTTAATTAAATATATTATTACATTCCGTTTGCAATTTAATTGAGCTTTTTTATCCTAAACAACATACTCATTAATCATATTTCAACTGTTTTTTCAAATGTTCTGTATATCTCTAGAATCAGAATCAGCATTTAACTTTAATGTGTTGTCACAAAGTGGTCCGCAAAGTGGGCCCCACACAACAAGCAAAATAAAAGTTAATTGTTAAAAAGAGAGATATTTTTTTCTGCAAGAAGGGCGGAGGCAATTTGAAGACAGCTGTTTTCGATCATTTTCCATTCATCGTATTCATCCATCCGTTTATTTCTGCTTTATCCGTTGCTATGTCACAGGGACAGGCGTCTAAGCAGAGATGCCTAGACTTCCCTCTTCACACAAGCTCATCTGGGGGAATCTTGTGGCGTTCAGGCGAGCTGAGATTTCATAATCCATGTATACATAATCAGATGATCATTCATAGTCCCAAATTAACATACACACTGTTAGATTGATTGAAGTGAGAAAAAACGAATTGGTTGTTTTATGTGACTTTTCTTGGTAAAATGCAAATTGCTGGACGTGTTCATCCTGTAGGCAAAAATGTTTGTGGTTTAGGTCTTATACTTCTATAGTTCTATTATTCTGTTTATGTTTAACCCCTAACATGATTCAAACCCTTAAGGATAAGGGTCACATTTTTTCATGTTTTCTATTCACTTCATACCATATTGAGAGAGGTAGAACAGTACTGGTCAAAACAAATTTGAGGTCCTCATTTTAATCAGCTTTAAAACATTAAGATAATGACAATACTGCTATAATTGAGGAGTCATGGTTTATGATGTTGATAATTCTGCTGGTATGATGGTGTATCTGAAATCCATGAGGAGCCTCTTCCTGTTTTCTTAACTGTCAGTGTTTATCTTACTCCACATTTTCTTGTTGTGACCCACTCCACATAAATAGCTCATACTTAGTTTGTCCCCTTTACATATATTCATAAGGCTAACTCTCAGGGGTGCGAAGCAGTTGACCTCTGCATGCCTCTACTGTATATGGTTTTGCATTAAGTGTCCTCCATATTTTTCTGCAGGGGGCGGCCACGTCGACTTTGATGATTTCTGTGAGTTAATGGGACCAAGGATGGTGGCAGAGACTGCTCACATGGTCGGGCTGAAAGAACTCCGCTGTGCCTTCAAACAAGTAAGAGCACACTGGAGAAACCACGGTGCAAGTAGTTCAGTGTGGCACAATGGATGACAGGACTTTGAAGCAACCAACAGGGGCCTCCACAGGAAATAGTAAAAAAGGAATATCCCAGTGTGGAGAGTGAAAGAATGGAAAAATGTTGACTTTAACTATGCCTCATGTGTATAGCTGAAATTGTGTATACCCCCACGCTACTCTAGTTAATGTGTTATGACAGAGGAGTGCGGGGGGAGCAGGGAAATTTATGGGGATTACGTCAGGGTCAGGTAGCCAGAACTGATTTAATTGCCTTTTGTTGGTATAATTCGACTAAGCAATGAAAGGGATGATGAAATAGGTTATATAGTGCCGCAGCCATTAGAATATATTCAATGCTATCCCTTTGTGAAGTAGGGTTTGCGCAAAAGTATTGAAAATCACTGGATTGGGTAAATCTTTGTTCAAAGTATTTCCACACAGAGAAATAGCATTGGGTTGCCTCGTCTCAGATGAAAAGACAAAACAACAGACTAATAAAAAAGTGAGAAAAATGATAAAACTTGTCCGGAAAGAGAACATTCTTTGACATTGATCCTCCCACAGATTGCCTAAAGAACTCCATAAAGAAGGATTTCCAGCATCCAGAAAGTACAGGCACTTTAAAGGGTCACTGTGCATTATTGAGTTTTCCCATTGTATTTTTACAGCATTAAAATACCTGGAATTAATTAGATGGATTTATTCCAAGGATTCCAGATGAGATAATGACATTTTCATGAGTCGCGCAGATGATGGACCTCTACCAGTAAACCTATGTCATGATAACTTCTGACTATTTGAGCAAGAAATCTTTTGTTCCATTATAGTTTTATCACTCATCACACACAGTCCTATTGACAACATTTGCGAAAGTACACTTTGTTTCGACCAGTTATTTCCACAAATGTAAATAGATTTTGTCGCCACATCTTAGCCATCGCTTTCTCACCTCTGGGGTTTCTCACTTTGATTCTCACTTCCTGAGTCAGCATGGTCGCTTCTGTAGACAGGCTGTTTTCAGGCTGTTTTCAGGCTTCCAAAAGAACTCGCACATGCAATTTCATCCAAGCTACTTTTCAAAAACCTCATACTTTGCTGTAATTTCTCCTCATAGTTTGACTGTAATGGAGATGGAAAGATCACGATAGACGAGCTCAAAGAGGCCATGAAGACAATGCTGGGAGAGAAGTTGAAGAAGGGCGAGCTGGAGGAGATTCTTTGTGACATTGACCTTAATAAAGACGGAAACATCGACTTTGATGGTAAGAGCGAGACAATTCATTCAAGTTGTTGCAGTTCTGGCCTCAGTCTTCAGGGGGCCATAAGCAAATGTAGTTTCACAGCCAGGGAGACCACCTTTCATTTCCTTCAAACTTGAACAATGTTAGCAATTTTTTGGGGAGAAATATGTGTATTAAAATTAAGCCTGTGATTGGTGTATTGGAATAATATACACATTTTGGATGAGAAATATTCTATTATCAGCCCCTGGTATAAGAACAGCAAGGACATACCTGAGGCTGATACTTCAATCGTAATTAAGCAGTACTTGATTCTTTAAAAAAAAAAATCTTATTAAAAGAACTGTGAGATTTCATAACACTTTGAAGCAACTGTTGTTGAAGTTCAAACTCATCCTTATTACATTTGCACGAGCCAGTACTTTTCCCTTGTTTTGACTTCTGACGGCCAAGCTACATGGCTCCGTGGAAGCTGCTGATTGGAGGACTGCATTCCTCCATGCTGTATAATACACTTGCATTCTGTCGTGTTTGTGTTCGTGCTGTCTCTACCGTTGACAATAAAAAAAGTCTTCGTTTCTGTAGATGTTACAGACAATGCCCGCATCCTTCCACCACCTGAAGAATCAGCCAAAGTCTGGGATCGTGTCTTTAATTCAGACAGAATACATGTTTTATTGTCAATGGTAGAGACAGCACACGAACGACACGAACAAGGGATGTTACGACAGCAAGTGGTGATATACTCAGGAGAAACAGAGACCTCCAATCAGCAGCTGCCACAGTGTGCTTGTAGCTTGACCTTCAGATATCAAAACATCAAATGGAAAAGTACAGGCTTCTGCATTTGTTAGAATGATGAGTTTAACTTTAACTAAAGTTGCTTCAAAGTGATATGAAATCTCACAGAACCTTCAAAGCCTGATACTTCAATCGGTTTAAAAAGAACTAACTTATAGTTTAGGAATAAGTTCCCCCTCTGGGACCAAGCTCTCCACCTTATAACCTGCAGATAATGAAGCAGGAAATCCAGTTATTTTCTTGCAACAAATACATTTAAGCCATGATTCCCCTGAGTTTTAATGCTATCCAATTGGCTTAAGATTTTTGTAATTTGTGGAACATTCTTGGGAGCCCTCTAGTGACTTTGGATCCCTATGCAACCACTTAATCTGCTTATAGGATAGGACAGGCCCTATGTTCATGTAAGACTACACTGTGGTGAATGGGAAAACATGTGAGAAATGAGACAATGGTGAGATGTGAAAGTGAGGGCGTCAAAGAGCGTTAGTTAGGGAAGGAATGGCCTACAATCTAATCAGCAGTGCATTACGCAAATCGATAGATGCCTCGGCACCTGTCACACACCAATACCGCTCCAGTGGACAGCCCCAAGGACATCCCAGCACAAGAATAATGTACGGAGAGACATTTGAATGATATCCACAATAACATCAAGATGTTTATGTTGCACAAAACCTGCGTTGATAGGTGAGGTTCTGTTTGTCCTGTCATAGCCACCTGATCAATTATTATTATAGAAAACATATCAAAAGGCATGTCAACAGGCAGTTGAAGCGCCTCATTAACATCAGATGGCCCCCAGGGCATGGGATCTGTCCAGTTTAAGCTCAGGGGCTGAATAAACAACAGCACCAACAGAGAGGGGTCCAAACAGAGCTTCCTGGTTGAATTAATCTTTACTGAAAAGGGTTAATGTGGCCCTCAGGAACAATCTTACTGTGTTAATCAGGACTTGAGCTTTATATGCTGTCTGTTGCTTCCCACCAAAACAGAACATACTTTATAAAGCGGCTTAAATACAACAGAGAGCGCCTCAAGCCATATCGCCTGCTTATATTATTAATACATATAGGTTGACTGAGTTATCTCAGTTGAATAAATGAAAACATGTTACTGGTTTTAAAGCCCCTTGTAACAGCTGATTTAACCTATTGATTGCTGATAAGCTAACTTTTTTCTTTCATATCTGGCACATGTTGTTTGTCCCAACAGAAAACATGTAATTGTTTGTATACTTTGCTGTCCATATGGGGAAGGGCCTAGTGGTAGGCAAAACCAGAGCACCTAGAGGAAGCATATAAAAAGACCTTAAGGAAAATGCTCCACTTAGAAAGGTTCTTTTCCAGTGCTATTCAGTCAGCCACTGTGCCGCCCATACTTGTATGACAGAGCCCTGTGAGTCAATTTTTGACCCTTTGGGCTGTGAGCTGTGAGCCTTTCCTTATCACTGTTATCTCTGAAAAAAAACCACAGATCTAAAGATGTGACAGCGGCCAAAAAAACATGCATGTGAAAACTAGTGATCAATGAAAAACAGGGAACTGATTAGATGGATTTTATCAGATAGTTTAACATATTGGTAGTTTAAATGTTAGGTACAGTGGCTTTGAACACAACAGTGGAACAGATGTTGTGTTTCTGGTTTTATCATGTCTTCAAACAACCTTAACTGTCAGTGAAGTTTATTACCAATTACAAATGTGCTCAGGCAGATACCGCAATCATTCATGTTCCTTCTATTAAGTCACGGGATGCATCCTGTACTGTTCTTTTATGATATTAGCTTGTCATTTGTGCTTATCATTGAATCTGTCTGTGTCTGTGTCCCTGCAGAGTTTGTGATGATGCTCTCTGCGCGGTGATTTCTGCCAAATGGAGATGAAGGAGACGACACAATGGATTTAGACGCAGCCTAAATAAATCAAACAAATGCACTTATGCCTGGACATTGCTGGGGACGAATGTGGTGCAGAATGTTACAAAACCTGTGATGAATGCAGTGCCCTCGCCCTCTGGTGGTCGTTACACAAAACTGCAGTGGAGTTTCATGCGTTGAAAATGTGGATTTATTCAAAATTGTTAACTCAAAACAAAAACAGTTACATAGTTGACATGTATGGCGTTTGACTTTTTTATACGTTTATACATTATGAGCAAAATACTCAAATTCAAAAACAATACAATTTTCTTTTACCATAGCAAAGTGGAATGGTAACCAAGCAGACACATTTTCTTTCAAATTCACGAAGCAAAATGAAGTAAGGCAAACGCAGTCCCTGACTAAAACTCTGCAGTTTCTCCACTTTCCATTACGCAACAATAAAGCAGCTTCAAACCATACACACACACGCAAATAAATGTGTACTATTTGTTTCAATATTGCAAAATACCCATTGGAATTTCCCTAAACTAGATGAGAATGTATGATTATAGTTTAAATAATTTATATTTAGTTTATTACATAATCTCGTGGTCTGAGAATATTTAAGCATAATAAGAAAAGAATGTTAGGGTTATTATGGAAGATATAGTCTTAAAGCTGGAATACCTAAATTTTTATTTTGCTCCATAAATACATTTTGTTTGTCCCCGCATAGAAAATGTGATAATACTTTTACATACTGGAAAAAAGCTGTTCTTAACTAGTGACATAACCAAACTGTTTTGAGAGAAACTTTTTACATCAATTTGAATACATACATTGAGACAGTCCAGCTTTGAGAAACAGTATTTATCAAATATATTATAGTCATCCTCAAAGAAATGAAGTCGAGCAACTCAACATCAGAGACATTCTATTCTAATCAGGAAGAATAATTTGAAGACGTTAGTTCAAGCAGTCAGCAGCAATGGAAGGGAAGAACCGTTTGAAAATGCGATGCATCAACACACATTTTTCACACATTAGATTTGGATGCAGACATAAAAATAAAAAAAAGTCTTTCATCTGGCCACTTAAGACGTTTCCTAGCTCCAACTGTGACTCTACTCTACTGCAGATGTTGTTACACAAGCGATGTAAGAAACCCTGAGGTGCTTTGCCTTTTTGCGCAAAACCACAGCGATCATAGCTCATTCTAGGAAGGTCTGATATAATAAATAAACGTGGCTTCATCATAGGATTTCAACCGGTGCGTATGAAGAGACGCTCTAGCTGTTCTGGATACTTTGCAAATATGTGAGAATTTGTTGGATCTTCACCAAACGATCATGAAGGCTGGTCATGGACAGGACAGAGAGCTGGTACCATGGATCGATGGGCAGGACCGCAAGAAGCCACCAGCACCAGGCCGGACCATTCGCCGTGGCCTAAAAAAATAAATGCATAGCGAATTTAATATCAATAAAGCCATAGACATGATACATTTGATTTGATTAAGTTTGACAGTTTATGTATTGATCACATTTTTATCATATGTCTACTCTATATGCCTATTAAAAGATCAAGAGACCGTTCATTCATCCCACAGTGGGGAAATTTCAGTGTTGCCTCACAAGTTACAGAACAGTAGGAATGAGGAGCACACAGCACAACGAATGAATAATAACTCTATACTGAAATAAAATAAAGTCTCGAACTCTAACATAAAAAGAAGCAATATAAAATCTCTATCTTTAGCAAAGTATGGAAAGAAGTCTAACAAATCTCCAACTTTATCATAAAAAAGAAGCAAGTATAAAACACAGAACACTCTAGTACAAGTCATATATAGTTGTGTGTATACATCTGTACATGTTAGCAGCATGAGGGTAAAGTTGACACATGTGGTCCATAATGCGCATTCTGACATAATGCATTAGAACACAAAACACTGATTATACAAGCCAACATTCTATACCAGCGCTTACTAAATGAATTTGCTGCATCAGTACAAGAAAAAGTGAAAGAGTATGGAATAAAACAGCCCACTATAGCAAATTAAAAAGGTTATAATAAAACTAGAGTAATGTTTAGGTAGGTTTTGCTTGCATCAGTCACACAATATGAACACACACAAAGACGCAGCAAAGTTGTTATGAGGTAGAATGAGCTGCAATGCAATAACTTACTATGACAACGTGTGAGACTTAATTAGTGTGTGTGTGTGTTAATGTACTATTGTGTGTTTGCAAGTGCGTGTGTGGGGTGAGATAATGTATTATTATTGTGCGCATGACCTTAATGATGCAACGCAGCCAGGGGGATTAGCCACAACGGCTTAAAAAGCTGTTTAACCTATATTGTAGTTGTAACTCCTCCTTCCTGCGGAGCCAAGAATAGACATGTTTTTCCTATGTGCTTATATGCGTGAAAGCCACTTGCAAATACACAAACTATTCATCCAGAAGGACTTTGACATGTACCTGGATGTTGGTTTCTTGTTCTGGCATTGTCCCAAAATGCTGTAGGATCTGATTGCGGAAACGATTTTTCAGGTTTTGAAACCACACGCAGGCCTGCTCATACACGGAATCATGGAGCTCTTGCAGTCTCTCGAGGTCTCCGTCTTCCACCTGATGGAAGCACAGGGACATCAGCTATTGAAACATTTTAAGTGCATTCAACAGGTTAGATTATATATCCTATAAACAGTCAACATCCCAACTTATACATTTTTTCTTCATCTTGCATATTGGGTCAAAACTGCTTTAATGCACACCAAAGTTATATTCTTTTAACTACATTGGTAAAATATTGTTTTGTATTTAGAATCTCTCTGTTTATCAATTCCATTTAAAGCTGGAGACACGGAAATCCCCTATGTAGTAAAACTCAAATATTTCATAGATCGCATCACTCTTTTATTTATAGTTTTCACATGCATGTATTTTTGGCCAATGTCAAATTGTAAGATCAACTTTTGTGAAAGAGAGTAAGAGCCCTCACTCAGCCAATCATTACTCAGTAGGTAAAATATCAAAAGTTGTCTAATCAGATCAAAATGCCATGTTGTGGTCTGATTTGTTCATTAAATTCAATTCAAATAACTTTATCAGTGAGGAACTTCATTTGCAGACGGAGCACCAATGAGGATAGATAAAACCCACCTTTTTATCTTCTAAGTATTGAATATCGCCGATACTGTAGCCGTCCCTCATTCCACGCGACAACACCTTGAAGCGCTTCCCACCGACTGTGTCCACCACGGAGCGTCCATCCGGGAGAAAATGGACGCTCCTGATGATAAGCATGCAGCCGTAGTCCACAAACCTACAGCACGACAAACAACAAACACGATCAGAGAATGGTGTTCCCAGAAACAGAATATAACAGTACTCTTTTGGTTTACCCTTTCTCGGGGTCGCTGATGCACATCCCGAACTGCTGCGTGCCGGTGTCCATGCAGCGGCGGATCATGAGGCGGTACCGCGGCTCGAAGACGTGTAGGGGACAAGGCACGGTGGGGTAAGCCATGGTGCAAACGAAAATAGGCACATTCTTTGTCAAACTGGAGAAAACATAGGACATGGTTAGTCATTTAGACAGATGCCTTTGTGTTCAAACTGAAATGGTTAATTTATTGTGTTTATAACTATCATTGTTAGCTTTGTTGTTGTTGTATTTAGTATTATTGATATTACTATAAGATGGTTATTGTTGTTTATATTATTTCATGTTTTTATTTTTGTAATCTGTTTTTTTCTTGTACGCATTATTCTTTTTTCAATGTATTCAATGTTTGTGTGTATTGCTCGTATTTCTGTATATTTATATGAAAACAGAAAGGGGAAAAACTCACTTTGAAAGCTCCTTAGTTTCCTCCTGATGCACTTTTGATCGCTCTTTATACTCTTTACTTAAATACTGCTTCACCAAAGTGTCCAAGAGCATCGTCACAATAAAATTTCTAGAAGCGAGATACTGAAAAGGACAAGAGAAATTAATGAGTTTCAACTCAATTCTATATGAACCAAGATACAGTTTCCAATTGCCACTTTATAATCAGGTCTGCAGTAATTTAAGTACATGACGGTTGGGGAAGATTAACACAAGCAATTTACTACACTTTATGTGAGTGTTATTCATGTAAAAATAAACAAAAGATGGAGTCCTAAAACTTTATAAGAGATAGACAACCAAAATCTGTAACAGAAACAAGAAAGCTATAGGAAATGAAAAATTAGGAGAACTTTTTGGGAAACCAGAGTGCTGTATAGAGAAAACTTTGAGAGTGCATGTTGTTGCTCTGGCGCCTAAACAGTTAATAACAAATAATAAAACCATAATACATTCACTCAATATGTACAAACGATCCCCTGCATAAGCCTACTTCTTCTGTCAAGATTTCAGCTATAACTTAAAAAGAATCTCACCTCTTTCAAGCTCTGTTTGCAGAGAGGGCATTGAGGAGTATGGTCCAAGCAGCGTTCGAGACAGCTTTTACAGAACGTGTGTCCACAGGGCGTTGTAACAGGCTCATAGAACAATCTGCAATGGAAATGTAATTGTTAAATTTGTATCCCCCTTTTTCAACACTGCTAATCTGTTTATAAATTAACATAAACGGACAAAAAAAGGGTTTACCTCATGCAAAGTGAGCATTCAACATCATTGGCATCAAGTCCAGCCTCAGGACCATTTCGATACATTCTAGTTTTAGAGGCACGCAGCTTCTCCTTAGTGACTCCTGTAGATACACACAGAAACGTAATGAACAGGAGTTTCGTAAAAAATAAATGCATAAAATCATAATCCTAGTGAATCCGACCTTGTTTTTTATGCTTGCCAATTCCATTAGTCAAAACACAATGCTCCTGTTCAGACACAGACAGCTTCCTCTTTAGCTGGCTTCCTTTCTCTTGGTCGCCCAGCTGCGGAGCGGAGCAGACCCTCTTCAGTCCTTCATCGCTGCTGCTGCTGCTGCTGTTGGACTCACACCTCCTCAAAGAAAGCGCTCGGCTCAGACCAGGCCGCTCTAAGCTTTCCCAACGTTTCTTTAGAATGGTCAAAAAGATAAAATAAATCAAAATGCAAATCACCAAAATATGAGTGAGAGATGGCTGGTTTACTACCTCCAGACTCTCCAGAGAAGGCTGGGCAGAGGCCGAGCGGCTTTGGTGCTGGACGTCTTGTTTGTGGACTGGGCTCTGTGGTTCTGCGTGAGCGTCGGACACCACGGTTTTACTGCGCAGATGAGGAGGAGTACTTTGTGCCGTTTCTCTCAGGCCGACCTTCACGTTCTCATGAGTTGGAGAAAGGAGACTGCACAAAATCTGGAACATAAATTATTGTTGGATTACAACTTCTTATTTGAATGGGCCAATACAAACATTATACCCCATGATAGGGTATGATATATTAAGGTATGTAATGCACAGTATCAAATTTGTATAGATATTGTATGTGGGATAATAACAGTATTCTAGGTGTTATTGTGTTGACTGGTGAGAGGGGATTGGGAACAAATAAGCATCTGTTTCATCCAACCACTTTTCAAACCTGTATTAGTGTAAAGATATGTGAAAATGAGTTCTGTAGGTTTGAAATAAAGTGAAGTAAGTAACTCACAAAAGTCTACCCGACTGTAAAGACACCAGGTACTCAACAAAACAGACTTTAGCCTGTCAAACTAAGCCTGTCTGTGTTGGCAGAGGGCTGAGCAGCTAAACTGAGTTATGTAATAAAGACCTCGAGACCTGATTTCATGGCACTCACTGAACACAGATGATAACACAAACTTTGTGATACTGGTTTGATATTAACTATTCTGTATTGAGTCACAAGACCTGACCTACTAAAACATAAACTAGACATTCCTATTGCTTGTCCGAACGCATTTCCTAAAAACATGTTTGATTTTTATTTTTTTTAGAATGAATTCCATAAAATCTGCGGATTATGAAGTAAGATTATCTTTAGTCATCCATCAGTGGGGAAAACTAAGTATTTCAGCGTGATAGATTTGTGGAATTCTGTTATCAAGCCAACATTTTTATGAGTGTGTGTGTCTGTTCTTGTTCTATAAAATGAATAACTGTTGGATCTTAATAAGATACAGATTTTAAGATATTGATTTCTCTCACCTTTTCCACTTCTCTCTTAGCAGTGGGGAAGTCCTCGTCTATAGACAAGCACTGAAGGAAGACTTGCAGGGAGGCATCGACCTGACCCATCTCATGCAGCACCATGGCTTTTCTAAACAGCACCTAGAGGAACAAACACGTTCAATGTGATCTATCACTCACATTAGGCATAATATTTTATTCAAGTAAAAAAGTCTGTTTTTTGACTTCACAAAATACAATGTGGACTTACTTCTGGAGAATAGTTGGGGCAGTGTTCAGTGTCCTCTAAAGCCTGTTGGTACCGTTTTGTAGCCATGAATGCCTCTGCACGAGACAGCCGTGCCACTGATGTAAAATCTGGTGTACCTTGAGAGTGAACAATAAATAAACATTAATACACATCAACCAAGTGTACCATAGTGTGCAGAATATATCATTTTTATTCTGTAATTGAATTTCCCATCATCTCTCCCCATAGTGTTTTTTATTGGGGGATATTGAACTATTAATTCCAGGAGAACAATTACTTTATGTGTTATATTGATATTGAATTATTTTTCAGCCGATTAGAAACTCCCTGAGGCAGAGGCAGTTAGACTTATTATGTCACTCGACCTAAATACTACAGATGGTTTTGTAACCACTCATACAAGTGAATACATTGGGAGTTTCTTTAGTCCTCCCTGATATCAAAAACAAATTATGCTATCTAAGAAGGCATGTTATGTATAATAGATCCATGATTTGATGGTGTCACCCTGAGTCCTGCCCTGGTCCTGCCTTATGCAATGTGCAAAAGCACGCATGCGCGTAGACTTTCGTAAGCTGACTGACCTAACCTACAATGATCAAATAGAGAAGCGGGTGTCTAAGAATAATGGTCAGCAGGACAATAAACTCATAGACATGAGTAGCCCGGGCACAGCTTTTATATATACGTACAAGTTTTAACTATTTATCTATGGGCACAGGCAGAATATTTGGGCATGTTCTGTCTGAGCATGCGCGCGGGTCTGACAAGGAAACATCTTTGTCATAACATGCTTATCATGGATGTGAAGTTATGTGAGATCTGCACCTACTCACCTGATTCTATCAGCTCCGAGGCCAGCGATATGGCTTCATCATATTGACTTCTACTGCAAAGAGCATCTACTTCACTGATAGTTCTGGACATGCTCTGCTCTTGGGGAAACCACTTGTCCAACAGTCCACACAGCAGTATGTTCGCGTTATTCCCTCTGACGGCTTTCTGGCACACCTTACATTTACACAGCAGATGTCTTTGTAAACATCGTTTACAGTATGTATGTCCACAGGCTACAGTCACAGGTTCTCCTATGAATTGATGGCAATTGGGACAGTCAAATAAGCTGTCCTCTGTCTCCAGCCGCTGGCTCTCACAAGCTCCAGATTTCCTCTTGAAATTGCGGAGGATACAGTCCACAAAAGTGCTCAGCTGTTCAGGTTGTAACGGGCCATACCTCATCGCCACAGAAAACAAGTGGATAGCTTCTTTCAGACAGTTAGCTGAAGCTTGTGCGTTTGCTTTTTGTAATATGAGCTCACAGTGGTCCATCTCCTCCGATGCACGGTCCCTGTCCTCTCCGATGAAGAAACCGCTCCTCTCCGCATCGTGCCCTGACTGGGTCGACATGTTAGAAGCAGAATGAAAAGCCTTATTTTCGTCTCCTGCATGTGTTTCTGGACATTACTGAAGGCGCCGCGACTTCCCAGCAGCTACTGAGACACTCGTTTGTTACATAAAACTAGCGTCACGTGACCAGCAGGCTCGCGCACTGATTGGCTGGCGTCTGTGATTACAAAACGTCTGCCTTGAAGTTTCATAACTACGGAAGATACGTATGAAAGTTATAGAATAAAAGATTTCCACGAACTATGTTTGACTATTACAAAACATGAGACGATAATCACCACGGATTTTGTTTTGATCCAGTTTAATGTCAGGAGCGTGAGACAAAGTAATACGTTATAAGGACATTTTGTAACACTGTTTATTCGCCTAAAACTGAGTTTTAGGTGTTCCATGAACCACCCGAGTATTACACTGGGACATCGGCAGCTTTGGGGAGCAATACAGATGTCTGTAGTAAGGCCTACAGAATACTGCACAACTGCATAAAACAGTATTCTGTAATATAATATGAATGTGGTGATATCACAGTCACGCTCTGAACATGTAAAAATGTCTCATAACGCTCCGTAATATTAGTGCACAGTCCATTCTACATTGTTCGTTATATCAAAATAAAACAGTCAAAACAATTGCACAAAATAAAGATTTTTTTTTTTAAATCTGTTGTAATTTTCGAGATGTTTCATATCTAGGTTATTTGCCTTTGGCAAGATCAAACTTTGTGAATTACCAACACTGAAAGTGAAATATTCAGAAATCTGGACTTGATTCTCCAAGAGGGACGTTATTAAGTTCAGTTATTGTGCCTTCCTTTATTAATTTATACAATTAACCTGATTAAAAGCATGTACTTTGATAATGTGGAATTATATTCATATGACATAGTTACATCATAGCGTGATGTATCACTATGTAAGGTATGAGCCAGAGCCTGGTTATAGCCTGTTATCCAATCGTCAACACCGCCATCTAGCGTCTAACTGTAAGAGGAACAAACTCAACAAATCAAACAAAGCATATGAGTGATTTTTTGTGTATTTTTATGTTCCAACACTTTTTCTCCATGGATGTATATTTACGCTAATAAAAGTTGACGTTTACAGTCTATGAGACGCATTCAGCCAAATTATGTTTTCCACATTGAGGTAAACACGTGGAAAAACAGTTGTACATCTTTGAGAGATTCCTAAAGTGTGGCTTGGGGGCGAATCCTTCTCCATATACAATACAATACAATACATTCTTGTATATAGCCCTAAATCACAACAGTAGTCATTTCAGAGGACTTCATAGAACAATCGAAATCACCAACACAGATCAGAGAATCAGAGAGACCAGGCTCAGAGGTCCCGTCGTCGCACCATGAAGCAGACAATGGGACAACGGGTGAATAGCAATGAACATACTACAGTCAAAATCCTAATAATGCAGACAGAAAAAGAAGGAAGGAGCAGAGGATAGTGCTCAAGTTTTCCATACTTCTCCCAAGAAACTGACTCCCTATGCAGCTTGACTGACAGCCTTAGATGTTTAGCCCTCCATGAGTCTTACCTTCCTGACCATATGCTAAACTGAAGAGGACTGTTTTAAGCTTAGCCTAGAACGTAGGGTTGAAGATGCAGCGGACCGACCTATTGGACCCTTCGAATAACTTATAAACAGATCGTGTTGTCTGATCACATTCTGGTGCTATATAAAATAAGATAACATAACAAATGACAAAGTTACTAGTGAATTATCAGTGACACTTATACAGACTAAGCAGTTCTTGTTACACATTCTCGTTGTACAGCCTGACAGCAGCAGGGGATGAATTAGTCTGTCAGTGAAGCTGCTCTCCAGAGCAGAGAGAGTGTCCTGCAGGGGGTGACAGTCATGGTCCAGCATAGATGTTAGTTTGTCCAGGACCCTCCTGTCCCCCACCTGCTGCACTGTGTCCAGGGAACAGCCCAGGACTGAGCTGGACTTCCTGTTGACCTTGTCCAGCTATGAACCAGAAGGGGGCAGCAAACAACTACATTTGCCCATGTCTGAGTCTGACTCCTCCTCGGGGTTTGTTTCTTATTTCTGTCATCCAAATACCCACTGTTTGTCTCTGCTTGTAGACTGTGGAGTTTCTGCTTCATTAAGTGATGATGGAGTGATGTCATGTGTTCTGTTCCCGACACAACACCTCATTTCCCTGGAATGCATTAGTGAGTTAGTTAGTTGGTTGGTTTAGGGAGATGAGATGAGATGGGACTAGATCTCCAGTTTTGAATGCAATTTCTTTACCAACAGCGCTAAACATGAGCATCTTAGAGTGGACATTATTATGTTCAGCCTCTGGCACACACCTATGCAGAATTCATGCAATCTAATCAGCATCTTGTGGATTGTCTTAGAAAATAATAGTGCTAATTGTGAAAAGGATGTGATGAAATGTTCTATTTGTTCAACTCGTATATAAACATGAACTCGTATATAAACATGAACATAAAAAGTTCTGCAAGCATCCACGTGTGAACAAAATCAAAGCTACAACATCATGTCAAATGAACGATAGAAAAAAAACACACAAAAACATGAATATAATAATAGAAAAAGAATCAGATAAAAAAAGAGATAATAATGATAATATTTTAATGAATACAGTTTGAAGAAAGATCACGTCTCTGTGAGGTTTTTTGTCTTTTAATTTGTAAATGTTTAAGAAAGGGACTGGCAACATAAGATTATTTTATTCTTTCTGCTCCTTTTCTTTTGTGTGACAGGACCACAATTATTTGAAATGTAATTGTGAAATGTATTGTCATGCCCACAAGTGAAATAATAAATAAATAACGCTTGGACCCATGCAAAAGGAGCAACAACGAAAGCACCGCCTTTATGTTTTGGCTCAGTTCATATAATGTTTTAATGTATTAACTAGTACTTTGAGGATGGCGCTTCATAGAACCCGCTGCAGTAATAATGCAAGTTCAGGGCCATAAAGTGCATTTAAAGGTGCTGCATAACTGTTCTGGTTGTGGACCTTTTTGAGTAATGAAATGTTTTACAATAATGGTAAGGAAAAAAAAAAACATATACAGTATATAACGTGTGATTAATGCCCTCTGAACTTTCCTGCACTCTCCTGTTTGTTTTATCAATGTGGGAAAGGACCAGCTTCAGATTCTCAACAGGAGATGGTGGAATGTGGCCCCTGTCTGTCTTATCTGGTCCTTTGCATAATCTCTCAGAGGTGTTTGGGTTCCCACAAAAAAAACACACACAACAAAAAAAAACAGATTCAAAAAAACACCTGCATTTGATGTTCATGAAAAGGAGAAATATGCGATATGAGCAAAGATGACAGGCTGCAAAAAGGATTCATAAGAAAAATAATTGGAGAGGATTACAGCCGGAAGAGAGTGTGTAAAGTGTTAATTATAAAGATGGAAAATGTACATATGCTGTGGGATTTCTCAGTCGTGTTCCTGCCTGTTCCTGCGTGTGGAAAGTACCTGACAGAGAGAGACAGAGCAAGTATTTGAACACAACAACATAATATGGATTGGTGAATTCATCAAGTTGACATGCAAGGTACACAATGAACACAATACAAAGCCCTCGGCCAGAATGAGCCGTATTGTTTTAGCTATGAGAGTGAGTTATGTAAGGGCCTGTACAGTAGGAGTGAGGTCAGCGTTTTGGAGGCCATCTGATACCTCGCTCCCTCAGCACTCTGACCACAGCATGGATTTGAGGGGGCAGAAGGAAAATCAGGAAAAATGTGTATTCTGAAGAGTTTCACAGATTGGAAATATGGGATCACCAGCTGGTTGTTGCATTGTGCGGCTGTTTTACACAATTGTGGATTATTCAAAAATGTTCTCAGATACAAAGTGTGTCCTAATTCAAGCTTCTATATTTCTGCTTTTAAATCCTTTGTACAATCACTCAATATTTGTTTTTATTATTTATAGATGAAAACTTTTGATTTAACCGAAAAGAACATTCCCTCGTTGCCTCATATTCTTGTTCGATTCTCTAAACTTGTTGGCAAATCAACAACTTTGTGAAGTCCATAGAGACAATTGTTGATGTGATTTAATCGAATTCCACCCTCCACTTGTCACCGCTAATAATATACGCTGCGCTTGGATATATAAATTCAAGAAAACAGCTCTTTTCAATAGTTTTAATAGTGCACTTTGATTAAGCTGTACAGAAATAATATTAATAAAAAAGATAAAACATTTGTTTACATTTACAATAGAATAACACAAAATGGTATGATACAACACAAACTGTATACAGTATAACTGAGGTATAAATATTTATTTTAAATTAACTGTCGCTGTTATGTTACTTGGTCAAAAGACAAACACACAGTTGCATAAGTTGCAAGTTAAAGTAAAGTAACATACAAACAATGGCTTAGAGTGTTAATTATACACATGTAGTTTACAACATGAGTGTTATGGCATAGGTCAGCTTTGTTACGTTCACAATCATCTATTTTACAGTTGAAAGAAGCTTACATAAAAATATGACCTTCTTGTTGTTCACACCCACATTCAGTCTGCCCCTTCACTACAGTAAAACCTGTAGACTTGCCACCTTTATAAAAGGACCATTTGTACTCAAACCTTCACCTCACCAGAGCTTTCTGTGGTTTATCAAACTAGAAATGACACTGCATGTTTTTTATGGGCACTGAATAACTCACTTTGGTTTCTTTTTAAATTTGGTCCATTCTGAATTAGCCTACTGGTATTTACTTAAGATCAGGAACACAACTATTTCCTCATAACTATTAAAGATATTTTTGTCTCCTCATACTAAGCAATCTATCGTCTGTCTGGATCCATCTATTGTCCTGTCACATTCATCAATCTCTCTCAGATACGTCATTTTACTGTGGTACACTAATCAGTGTGTGCTTTGCTGTAACAGAAAAGGGGACAGAGGTAATACGTGATAGACAACACACACAACACTGTACGGACACTGCAGCTGGAGGACATGTACTGATTACCAACCCAGTCATACATACTGTCACTTGTTCACACATACTGTCACTCATTCATTCATACAGACTGTCACTCACTCACAGAGGGACACATCCGGTTGCTTCTCAGAAGCAGTAACACCCTTTGGATAAGATTGGATCCTTGTATCCTCAAGTGTTGTCCTTTGGCCATGTAAAACTGTCTGTGCTGGACACCAGGGTGGAACACTTTTATAGATGAGATTGTTTGAGAATGTCCTTCAAATGGAATCCAGGGGTTTGTCTTTGAGCATGAATGGTATCTAGTGTTGGATTCAAATGACTGATGTCTTCCAATGTCCGCGTGTGCTTTATTTGTCCACTGGCACGGTAAACGAGTCACGTATCCGGGCCACCTCAGCAGCACACAAGTGTCCATAGAGTTTGTTGTACCACTCAGGAAAACGGCCCCTACGAAACACAACACTCGAGTTAGTAACAAGTGACTCAAAGAAAAAAATTTCAATACAGTCATGGTCACACTAGATCAAAGACAAATCAACATATAATAGACATTTGATTTTATGTTATCCCTATTTGTAGTTGGAAACACACCTGCAGTCAACCCTGGAGAGATGTACAAGTCGAGATTTGTTGCTCCCACACGGTTCAATGAAGTAACGGGACATAAGGACGTTGACGCGCACTCCGACCACGGGCAGCCCCTCGTGCTCCACTGAGGAACACACAAGTGCACACGCTCCTTTGGCCAAGTCTGTAGCCCACGTCCTGTTGAACATAGCATGCATTCATCAGATTCATTTGCCAGTTGCAGTAAAACCACATTGAAATACATTTAATAAATGCCTCTCCACCAACCCAAACATCCAGCATTTTCTTTTCTTGGTCACAACAGGGAAAGTGGGTGGCAAACATGAAATTGGCATTTTCTGTTCAGTCATTTTAGGTCTTAGAAAATAATCGATAACTCAGGTGCGCGCACTCGCGAGAAACAGGAAGTGGGTGAAGTAGGTAAACGCACCCCATTGGTTCGTTGGGGATGAATGAATCCCATTGGTTTATTTTCATTGGTCCGCTCCAAAATATTCTTTATTAATTTTAGGAGACTACAGGCATCTGGTCAATTCCATTAATATTTGAAAACATATGATAACTTGACTACTTTTAGGGTTTAGGGACGTTTTCCCACAATATTAAAAAAAATCACTGACTGCATCTTTAAAAGTACAGGAATAAAACACACTATCAATACAAATGAAAGAACAGTACTTTTCATTTATATCATTTGTTGACAGGACAGTGGTGAAAGTATCCCATCTTATACTATTATTCTGAAGATGTACCTGATTACAACATGGTCTCTGGTTGGATGTGGCGCCATGGTGTTGCGGAGATACTGGTAAACCTCGATCTTGTCTCCGAGCGTCTCCACCACTCGGCTCTCGAGCAGGTCCTCGTCCCAGTGGCTCTGCTCTCTCAGTATCCGAGTCAAAACCTCTTCAGGAGTGGCAGGAATTTCCACTGTGACCTTCCATAGTCGCAGGGGGAAACCGTCGTGCACCTGGGAAGAACATTATTCAAATTAAAGTTTGGCCTGAAAGCGAGATTGTAAAAAAGTGACATCGCTCTGAAGAGAAAACTTCACGGTAAAACGGAATCCCATTTGTCACATATAATCCCTTTATGATTTCATGCAGCCTAATTTATAAAGCTCTTAAGGCATTTGGTCTGCTGCTTCAATGTGGGGTAGAAAGTTTGAGAAAAAAAAGTTCCATGGAAGCTTTACTACATGGGAATATTGAGCAGGAATAACGTAATTTTGGGTCTAATTCTATGCCGGGAAACACAAGCTGAGAGCCAGGCTTTTTTCACACATTTAATTCGGAAACTACTTTTCCACTTGATAACTACGGAAGAGCAGGAGATACAAGTCGGGAAGCAGATAGTTGAGGGGACAGTGTGTCTTCATCGATGTGAACATACGGGTTTTGTCTCTACTCTGGCTTCACAATTCATCCAAATTGAATCGAAATTGCAATTTTTGAATATCTAAGTTCTTTGCAAACAAAACTTTAGATTTTATTTATTAATGTTATTGTGTAGTTGCATCAATGGAGTAAGTATCTTTCGTCTTGTAGTTGGGCAGAAGCACTTGTTTCTCAAAATTTCAAACTCAGATCTGACCATAAGAATTTTGTGCAGCTTTTTTACACATTTAACATTATAGCAGTGAATATTATATTTCTACATATTGTAGGTTGGAACTGTTAACGATTTCTGAAATGTGTGAGAATTGTATATACTGTAAGTTATTTGATCTTTATATTATGCATATTCTTTATCAAGTTGTTTTATAGATTTTAAACTGGATATGGAAAATGACATATGGGTCAGAAATGTGGCAATTTAATAATTTCCCATAATTGCATCTGCCGACATTCGTACCTTCCTGTAGGCCAGGTCGGCGTGCTCAGGCGTGGAGCAGCTGTCGTAGCCTCTGAACTTGTCTTTGGCTTCTTTGAGGAGGGCGTCCAGGCCGTCTCGAAGAAATGCTCTGTACCCCCCCTCAGGCCCCGCCTCTTCGCCGGTCAGCTCCTCCATTCGCTGTGGCAGCAGAGCTTGCTCCACATACGAGTTCCTGCAGCGGTTCATTTCCTCCGGGATCTGTGAAAGCCAAGCAGGAAAGATCGTCAATATTCCATTAATGTCCACAGAATGAGATTATATTTGCAGAGGCCTTATGACAAAGTCCTACTCTTGTATCTTTACTAAAATCATTTAATCAAATCTGTATTATTTAATGACACAACTCCTGCCAAGTTTGTCAGACTTTAAAACTAATATGCAATAATGAAAACAACATTACAGCGCATGATAAATGTTTATAGCAGCTCATTAGAACCCGGCAATAATAGGTTAGCTTCCTTATATGAACCTTTCTGCAAAAGTAAATCACATTTTAGCGGGCGTTAGCCCATAGTTAATTCATTTAGATAAGACCATGACAGGAAACATGCACTAATCTAATGAAGCAACCAAACAACACACTTTTCATTTGCGGATAAATGCCAGGGAAGGCTCAACAGATTCAAAAGGACGAGACGGAGATGAAATTAGATTAGTAATACAGAAGGAACTTGATATTTCCTGTTTTTGTCGCCAAGTGGGCTTCTAATACCCGAGTCTGTATAATTATATAAATCAGTGTTTTACTAAACATGCCGCAGCAAGTTTTAAGTAACCACAAAGTTAAGTCGTCTCTTGTTATGTGAGGTCAGGTCTGTCTGTGACATCGTGTTACCTGCGTGTTGTATAACCGAGTGTATTTACATGGCAAACAGACCCACAGTGTCTAACAATAGCGTATCATACAAGGTGACATTTACAGTCAACAAGCGTATTATGAACATCTATTTCACACACATTTTAATCAAAAGAATAATTCATCTGTTGACGGGAGCTTATAGTTTGTGCGTTCAGTTGGCAACAGTCGCTAAGCACTGACCCGAAACAGCTTCCTGCACTCCTGGATCATGTGGGCCAGGCCATGTGTGGCAGCCAGGTTCTCATTTAGGTCCCTCTGGTCAGGCTTTCCCAAATTCTGCTTTCGGTTCATCACGCTGTAATTACACAGAATGGAATAAACACAAATGAGTAATACATAATACCAGGTATGAGCACATTCTCATCTCCAGAACAGATTACAGAACTCTTCCATTTCAACAAAATAAAAAAAATCTTGTCAAAATTTAGGCTGGGGAATTTGATTTTCAAACCAGAGAAATGGAACTATGTAATAAGAGCCACAACACTAGATTCTGGCTCTCAGCTCTCAGCCCAAAGTGTTGAATAATGACTCACATAGATTTTTCTTACCGGTAGCAATACAGTAGACCAGGGATGGCAAAGTCAAGGGCCAAAAAAACTAATTTGCTACAAGCCGAGGGCCGGACTGGTTCAAAGTTTATCAAAACATATTAAAATGATTGCATATAACCAAATGAACCAAGACCTAGACCTAACACAGTGTACCTCACAGACAAAAACCAACTTCCTTCAAAGAGAAAACACTGAACATTAAATTAATAATCCAATATGTTCTTATGGCGCTGTGCGGGCCAATTCTAATACTAATCAAATATCACCCCCGAGGCCAAGATAATTCATTTCCAGGCCGGATCTGGCCCGCGGGCCTTGACTTTGACACCCATGTTGTAGACAAACCCAATCATTTTAATACTATAGTGCTAACAGCAAATGACTAATGGAACTATATACCAATGTAAATGATGTTTCTCTTTCTGCCTGTATGAAACAAAAAAGATAGGTAACCCAGCTTTAAATGGACAATAATTGCATGTTTACCTAACCTTTACATTAGGGCTATCTCTCGCTCATCCTCCCTGCTCTTCCCTTTCCCTTCTCTATCTGCAATATCCTGCCCTTTTGTTTTCTTAGTGGCGTTTTCCTGTTTTTACGAGATCGAACATAAAACATGTTGCGTGTTACATAAGCCGCATTGTGAGTTGTGATGCGCACCGTGGCGAGGAGCTCTCTTTGCGGCGCAGGGTGTTGAGGTGGAAGAGCGACGGGGCCAGGCACACGGCCAAGTTGGTCGGGGTCATCTGGTTCTCTGTTACGTTAGCGGTCACGTCGCTGAGGAAACAGAGCAGAGAGCGCAGAGCCTCCCTGTTCTCATCCGGCAAGAGCAGCACGGCGGCACGGGCGGCATGAAGACGCAGCTCCTTGGGCATGTCTGTGAAGTAGGAGTTGAGTGGCCGTTTATTTCGAGTTCAAAGTACATCAAACATTATTATCTAATGTCACTACATAGAATTTTCTAACATATCATTCATTAACAATTACTTATTATCCCGTTAATATTCACTCCTTGAAGAAAACAATGTCATTTTTTTATTTCTTTGGGATTTTCTAAGATGTAGGAGCACTAATAACACCAATAATCTAACTTTTAAAATTGTAACTTTTTATTATAGGCTTTTACAAAAAAATTGAGATTCAGTTTGATGGTAAAAATGCCTAAAACCAGGTGAGATGCCCCAAAGAGGGATATTTCAGTTCCAATCTTCAAGTAGATAGTGACTCAAAAGGTGATCTACCAAATGGTTTAGCAAACCATTAAAAGATTAAAATATTCAAACTTAAAAAGAGTCACCAATAATTTCATGTATCGTAATCACTATTTATTGATTAGACGAGTTTCCAAAGGTACAATTCTCGATTAGACAATTCTGCATTGGAGAAGATTTTCTGTGTGGGCTCTTTTTCATACCCCTCATTACTTATACAATACCTTTTACGTTCTAAAATCCACTGCAGCAGGTAAATCTTTAATGACGGATTTTGATGACACATAGTTACTGGCAGAAATTTAACTGAAATAAATCTTTAACAGCAATAATATAAAATATAATATAAAAAAGTCTTATCAGTGAATGAAACTGAAACTATATCATTTTTTACAATAGTGACCAATGCTGTCCAATCAATATCATTCGGTGGTATGCATTTTCATCCTTGGTTAAAGAACTTCATAAATTGAATTCGAAATAAGTTTTTTTCCCCATCTTTAATGGGGAAAAAAACCAGATAGAAAAAACATGGGTGCCAGTAAAACACAGCTTAATGCTTAATCTTAATGTTTTGTCTAAATTACGTATTTCCTGAATAAACCAACTGTTCTTACACTGATAGATCTGGAGGAAGGTCTCGGAGAGCTTGCTGGTGAGCAGTGGCTCTGGGAGGTCTCTGAAGTACTGCTTCAACATATCAGCCACGTCGTACGCAGACTGGCCCTCGTAGCTGACTCCGCCCCCATCCGCTCCGCTGGCCTCGTTCATCTGTCGCAGAGCCTGGATGCGAGACTTCACCCCAGATTTACGGAAGAGACCCACCTGGAGAGAAAGATAACACCAGTGTCCTCATTAGGCTGAGTTTGAAAACAGACATGCAATATTATCATTAGTGGCCCCCAATATGAATTTCATGTATTATTATCAACCTCCCCCCTGGACTGCCACCTTAACGTGGTGGGGGAGTTTGAGTACTCGGATGATCCTGGGAGCTATGCTGTCTGGGGCTTCATGCCCCTGGTAGGGCCTCCCATGGCAGACAGGTCTCAGGTGACGAGTCAGACGAAGCGCAGTCCAAAAACCACCATGGATCGCACTATAACGAGAGCAGTGACGTCGCCCGGCATGGCGCAGCCGGGGCCCCACCCTGGAGCCATCTGACCTTCGACCGCGTGTCTCGGACACTCGGGTAAAGAGAGGGGCGGAGCTGTCAACCGATCATCACCTGGTCGTGAGTTGGATCCGCTGGCAGGGGAAGAAGCCGGCCAGACCTGGCAGACCCAAGCGTATAGTGAGGGTCTGCTGGGAACGTCTCGCTGAGCCCCCTGTCAGACGGACTTTCAACTCCCACCTCCGGGAGAGTTTCTCCCAGGTCCCGGCGGAGGAGGGGGACATGGAGTCCGAGTGGACCATGTTCTCTGCCTCAATCGCCGATGCGGCGGCTCGTAGCTGTGGTCGCAAGGTCTCTGGTGCTGGTCCCGGCGGCAACCCCCGAACCCGGTGGTGGACACCGGCAGTAAGGGATGCTGTCAGGCTGAAGAAGGAGTCCTATCGAGCCATGATGGTTCGGGGGACTCCTGGGGCAGCTGTCCAGTACCGGCAGGCCAAGCGTGCCGCGGCCCGGGCTGTTGCAGAGGCAAAAACCCGGGACTGGGAGGAGTTCGGAGAGTCCATGGAGCATGACTATCGGTCGGCCTCGAAGAGATTCTGGCAAACCATCCGGCGCCTCAGGAGGGGGAAGCAGTTCTTTGCCAACACCATGTACGGTGCGGGTGGAGAGCTGCTGACCTCGACTGGGGATATTGTCGGGCGGTGGAAGGAATACTTTGAGGTTCTCCTCAATCCCCCCGTCACGTCCTCTGTTACAGAGGCAGAGGCTGAGGATGTTGGGGCGGATACATCCATCTCCCTGGCTGAAGTCACCAAGGTGGTTGGTAGCCTCCATGGTGGCAAGGCTCCGGGTGTGGATGAGATCCGCCCTGATTATCTAAAGTCTCTGGATGTTGTAGGACTGTCTTGGCTGACACGTCTCTGCAACATCGCATGGCGATCGGGGGGCAGTGCCAATGGAGTGGCAGACCGGGGTGGTGGTCCCTCTCTACAAGAAGGGGGACCGGAGGGTGTGTTCCAATTATCGTGGGATCACACTCCTCAGCCTCCCCGGTACGGTCTACTCCAGGGTACTGGAGAGGAGGTTACGGCCGATGGTCGACTCTCGGATCCAGGAGGAGCAGTGTGGTTTTCGTCCCGGTCGCGGAACACTGGACCAGCTCTATACTCTCCATCGGATACTCGAGGGTTCATGGGAGTTCGCCCAACCTGTCCACATGTGCTTTGTGGATTTGGAGAAGGCGTTCGACCGTGTTCCCCGGGGTGTCCTTTGGGGGGTCCTCCGGGAGTACGGGGTCGGGGGTCCTCTGCTGAGGGCCATCCGATCCCTGTATGACCGGAGCCAGAGCTGTGTTCGCATTGCCGGCAGTAAGTCAGACCTGTTCCCGGTGAATGTTGGCCTCCGACAGGGCTGCCCTTTGTCACCGGTTCTGTTCACTGTATTTATGGACAGAATATCTAGGCGCAGCCAGGGGTCGGAGGGGGTCCGGTTCGGAGACCACAGGATTTCATCTCTGCTGTTTGCGGACGATGTTGTCCTGTTGGCTCCAACGAACCAGGACCTGCAACATGCACTGGGGCGGTTTGCAGCCGAGTGTGAAGCGGCTGGGATGAGCACCTCCAAATCCGAGGACATGGTGCTCGACCGGAAAAAGGTGCCTTGCCCTCTCTGGGTGGGTGGAGAGGTCCTTCCTCAAGTGGAGGAGTTCAAGTATCTCGGGGTCTTGTTCACGAGTGAGGGAAGAATGGAGCGTGAGATTGACAGGCGGATCGGTGCAGTGATGCGGTCGCTGTATCGGACCGTTGTGGTAAAATGGAGCTGAGCCGAAAAGCAAAGCTCTCAATTTACCGGTCAATCTTCGTTCCCTCCCTCACCTATGGTCATGAGCTTTGGGTAATGACCGAAAGAACGAGATCGCGGATACAAGCGGTCGAAATGAGCTTCCTCCGCAGAGTGGCTGGGCGCTCCCTTAGAGATAGGGTGAGGAGCTCAGTCACACGGGAGGAGCTCGGAGTAGAGCCGCTGCTTCTCCACGTCGAGAGGAACCAGTTGAGGTGGCTCGGGCATCTGTTCCGGATGCTTCCTGGACGCCTCCCTGGGGAGGTGTTCCGGGCACGTCCCACCGGGAGGAGGCCCCGCGGAAGACCTAGGACACGCTGGAGGGACTATGTCTCTCAGCTGGCCTGGGAACGCCTTGGGGTCCCCCCGGACGAGCTGGAGGAGGTGTGTGTGGATAGGGAAGTCTGGGCGTCTCTGCTTAGACTGCTGCCCCCGCGACCCGACAACGGATAAAGCGGAAGAAAATGGATGGATGGATGGATATTATCAACTTGAAAGTTGATAATAATACATGAAACCTACTTTTAAACCTAATCCACTCAAATTTCCGTAGCATGGGACACCCAGACTTCCCTCTCCACGCTCACTTCCTTCAGCTCATTAGCTAATATTCTCCAACACATTTTTTATTTGAATCCAAACATTGAACCAAAAACACAAGTAGTAGTTTAATAAAAAAAAAAAAAAAACTGTTGTATCAGTGACCCAGTTGTATGATTTTGTTCCGATAACTGCACTCATTTTGTACAGTAAAGTTTATCACTAAGATAAGAAAAGATAAGATAAACTTTATTGATCTCACAATGGAGGAATGTACATGTCAAATTTGGCACAGATAGAATCACTCAGATTGTGCAAAAACACAGAAGTGTGCAAACATGAAGAGGTAAAAAATATAGTATAGTGTTAAATGAAGTAAGAATTTAGTCAAAATACCTCCATAATATAATTTAAAACAAGCCACAAAAGCAGAAGATGATTTCCAAGTAGGGATGTACCTATCCGATATTCAGTATTAGTATCAGGGGCCGATATGGGTATTTTACAGAGTTCACACATGGGTTAAGTACTGGCTTTTTGTGGTCATTCAGTTATGTACCAGCTCTTTTCTCTTTGTTTTACTGAATGTTGAGGGCCGCTTTTTTTAAAGTTTATTTTAAAGGTGAAATATTCAATACTGATTCTTACCTATGACCTAACTCAGTAGGTCTGTTAAGCAAAAGCCAAACAATATTTTTGATCAGGTTATAATAAAGAAAAAAAAACATTTTAAAGTAATACTGGTTGCAACATTTTGAATGCTTTGAAAATATTAGAAAAAATGTGATTGGTATCGGATCGGTATCGGCAAAACAATATTTAAGAATATCGGAATCGGATCGGATCACAAAATATCTGGATCGGTACATCCCTATTTCCAAGCAAACAAAGAAAACAATGGAGACCGTGGTATTAAAGTATAAAATAAAACCAGACAACTAAAGGAAGGTGATGTGTTTTAGTTTCCAGACCTGTCCACTTGTATAAAACCAGGAGGAGGACCCCTGAAAGAGACAAGCACTGCCTGTCCCAGGAACACACTAAGATGATATCACATTTTTCCATTTCTTATGTAACTAAAAAATACATACACACATTATATAACTTCCCGCAACTTAAAAGAGGAGGACCATTTTATTATCTTTGAACAGTGCTGACTGACAGGCAAGAGGCACAGATTTCCACATTCGCCAGTGTCTGCTTATCGCTAACACGTTTTTTTTTTGTGCGTGGAAAAAAAAAGTTACCTGGTCAAGACAGTGGTTCCGTAGGTAGCGCATGGCCTGCTGGATTCCTTGAGGGAGGGGTTGACCTGTCCGCTGCACAATAACTTGTAATGGCACACCGAACACATTCCTGTCTTTGTAGTCGCGCACCTTGATTCTTTTCATGAACTTTGGCACAGCCCTGCAACACAAGACGGCAAAACATCAATACTAATATTTGTTTTGCTTTTATAAGGACGATTGCTTCTCTCTGTTTGTGCGATCACTGGTTTTAAGGTAGAGGCAGTTATGTGTTTTATGAGTGTGTCAGCCGGAAGCCAGGACTAAGCAGAAGCCTGTCTCCAACTTTATGAGGGGCGGATAAACAAGGTTACGGGGTAAAGCGTGTATTCTCGGCCTTAACAAGGGCTAGTCCCGACCGCTTTGTACAGTCCACTCTTAAAGCGGAGGTATCTAATGTTAAATTTACAAAAAATTCTAAAATGCAATGAATTTTTGTGTGTGCCACTGTCACATCCTTAGATCGGCTTTTTCAGACAGAAAAGTGAAAAAGAGATGCCCACCCTCGCTCAGCCAATCAGCACTCAATTTTTCTTACAAGGATACAAAGAATAAGTATTTTTTTTCTATCAAATTAAGACAGTATTTTGTGGTCTGATTTGTTTAACTTTTAACTTTCAAAATTCTTACTCTTGGAACACACATAGATTATTTATGAACGGTAAAGTATGCTAAAGTCTGAGGTTTTAGTGCTCATTATGCTAAAGATAGAGATTTTATACTTGATTCTTCTTCATGCTAACGTTAGAGATTTTTATTTCATTTTTCTTTTAGAATAGAGTTCTTGTTCCTTTATTTTATGCAGTGAGCTACTCATTTCTGTTCTGTAACTGATGATGCATGCAACACTGAAATGTCTCCACTGTGGGAAGAATATAGGACCCCAGCTTTAATTATTACGTGGTAGGTGGTAAGTTGGCCACCCTACAACTCTGGTCCAAAAGTAGTTACATGAACAGATCCAGGCACCCACAGATTCTATGTTGTTGGGTGTGAAAAGTGCAAAATGTTGTGCGTGACTTCAGACAAGTCGGTCTTTGTGAGGGAAAAAGCATTTCTTGGAGCTGCAGTTAGGAAAAATGGAAAGAGGGACATTATAACCATGGCCCGGAATGCTGAATATGTGTGGGCCTTGAGCGAGGCAACAATCTCGGCAGTGTTTGTTTGAGAGAGTCCAGGCCTGTCATAAGACTGTCATAATGCTGGCTTTTTTTGAGAGAAAGTGGGTCCAGGTTAGAGCTGTCGAAAGGATAGAAAATCGGATATCAAACAAAACTAGTATTGAAACTATAGTACTATATAATATTGACACTGGTATCATTTATATAAAAAACAGGAAAACATTTTATAGTTCCAGGGGGTTTTAAACTATATCCAAAGAACCAAAAATATAAGAAGAAAAAAAAAAGTTTATTCCCAGATCATAATTTGATAGCAATTGGATTCACAAAGCCAGGTATGTCTGAAAGTCTGTTCTACCGGCAAACATCATGCATGTTTTGTGATTATTGTTAAAACTTTTAGACAAAATTATGAGAAAATAATCAGCCCGTAGTTGAACAATACGGAAAAAGATGTGGAACTTTGTGACAGTTTTAGTTTTTTAGTGAAAAGGCCCCGGAATGACAAAGAAATGATCTCTAAACTAAGACTAGAAGTTTGACTTTTGACTGTTACCATAGTTACCAGAAAATATTTCTCTGCTGCCCTACACCACAATTTTAATCTATCTGCTCTTCGGAATGTTGTGATGTCACATGAACGCAACCCATTGTCCAAAAAGATAATTTAATAATAATCGGTGGTTACAAAATTAGCATTGAGTAATTTTTTTAGCATAGTATAACGGAATAGAGTCTGAAATTTGTGACAATCCTAGTCCAGACAGGACAAACAAGAGCATTTAGGCGGGTGAAAAGGTAGATGGAAAAGAGTAATCGTCAAGGGCAGATCCCCCCCAGCTCCAGTAACACTGTGCGTGTGAATGGCCAGGATTGCCCGTTTGGAAGGAGGAAAAAAGACAATGTAGACCCCTTCCCAGCAATTATGGGCCTGGGAAAAGAATGTGAAACCCAACCTCTGCGGACAGCCGTCAGCGCACCACACAACAACCTGCAGATGGAGGGGATTCAGACAGTGGGTTGGCGGGCAAATCGCTGGGCAGACGGATTAACTGGAGTGGTGTTATTTACAAGGAACACTTTGAATAACAGGGCACTCAAGCCAAATAGTCTGTCAATATGTACAGCAACGGAAAAAAACAAGCGCTACTGTAATCTAGACACTTTCTAGATACTTTGGCTCTGTAGGAACAATTTAGTCTAGTTTATGAAGTAACAGACAGATGATAATAGACAAAGATGTTGGATATCTTAGCCAGAGATTGATTGTTGATTTGATATCGGGCGTATTCTATTAAAGCTGGGGTACTGAACTTTTTGTAAACGTGAAATAATCTGAACAAATCAGACCATAACAGGTGAATTGAAAACATGTGTTCTTGTGTGAGCCCTGTAATCCCTATTTGACACTTTGGGCTGAGAACATATTGGATGTGTGAGGGTGGTCCTCTCAATTTCATTTGATCGGATCTAAAAATGTCGAAGAGACCAAAAATATTGCACATGAAAATGAAAACCAAACTGTTTTGAGCGTGAGAAACTAGTTGGAATAATTTTATCACAGTTAAAATTCTTCATTTTATCCGTGCTGCTATCCACTCAGCACGGTGGCTGAGTGGATAGCACACTCGCCTCTCAGCAAGAAGGTCCTGGGTTCGAATCCCGGTTGGACCAGGGCCTTTCTGAGTGGAGTTTGCATGTTCTCCCCGTGTCTGCGTACGTTTCCTCCGGGTGCTCTGGTTTCCCCTACCACTAAAAATATGTACAATAGGTCTGGCATGTGCCTCCTGTACTGGCACCCCCCACTCCCAAAAAAAATTGTAAACCGCTTTGAGACTCCGATGTGCAGTGAAAAGGCGGTATATAAATAAAGATTACTACTACTACTACTTTGAAAAGTTAGATACCTCAGCTTAAAACCGTTCAACATCTCTTGTATTATTCATAAGGACACGTGTGTAAATAAATTCTTGTACCCACCAGCTAAAGCCGTGCTTGTTGGTCGGCGTGTGCTTCTCCAGGAGAGCGGTGAGCTGGAGCATGGACAGTTTCTGGAGAAGGTTCATTTGCAGCACAGACTGGCAGCTGATCTGGAGCTGAGCAGAGGCCACGCTGGGACGATGGGAGTTCTGGAAGCTTGGCCAGCGTAGCTTCTGGGGCCTGGGGAGAACAAAGGTGATGGAGATGTGAGGTCTTTGGGATGCGATGGGGAAAACACACACAAACACATACACACAGACACACACAGACACATACGCACACACATACGCACACACATACGCACACCAAAAGAGAAGCCTTACTGCCTGCGTCATGTCTTTGTGTATGCACAAACATGATATAAATGCAGCCACACACATTGTTCTGTAGTTTTATGTACAAGTGATCAGACGAGGGGATTAGATGGATCTGTGTACACATCAATCAGGGGCTGAAAAATGCGTGCCTTTCAAAGACTTTCCCCTTGCAGATTCTTGGAGAAACAGCAACAGTCCCCTTGGAGACGCCAAGGCATTCCAGAGCGATCTGCAGCATTACGTAAGGAGAGGAGTCTCAGCGTGCCCCTTGTCTTGTGCCGTCACCTTCTATACATGCTCTTTGTTTGCTAAACCTCGGCATTGTTTTACTTGTTGGTTTGAATTTAAAAGACTTCTGAGAGTAATTTAAATATTAAAGGAATTTTCTACAACAAACTAGCAGTTTTCAACAACAGCGAGCCAAACTCTGTTAAACGTTGCCTAAATCTTTCCAGAGTGAGAGATACAAGACAATAAATGTTTGCCTCATTTTTACATTTTACCGTAGTCTTTGTAGTTAGTAGTTTCAGAGTATTTTAGCCAAGACTAAAATTGTTAAAGGCGACAACTTATTTTGTTGAAATATGATTGAATTAACAATACTACAATAGTAAAAAAGAAAAAAAGAAAAAATGGTGATCAAATTGGATTATCTCCCCCTATTCCAGCTTTATAACCACAAAAAATGACCAACATGCTAGCAATCGTAGCCGTGCTTTTTTTGCTCACCTGCTGGTCCGAGTCAGAGATGCTCCCACTCCAGAGTCCCTCCTCTCCCTCATCACCTCCTCTTCTCCCAGGGGGTTCCCCGTGCTGTCCTGGTCGCTTCCATTCTCTGTCTCCTCCAGTCGATTCTGCAGAGGAGAGGATGGACAGGGGGAAGCCGAGTCCAGGGCTGAGTCTGAGTCTTCCTCTTCATCATCCTCCTCCTCCTCGTCCTCCTCACCAGCCACAGCTTCTGACCAGGCATTAACAAAGCGCTGCAGGCCGCTAACGTGTTGGAGCACCTCCTCCAGTTTGTCTTCCTCTTCTGCGTCCTCTGTGAAGGGAACGTTGTCGTAAAAACTGAGCCGGCTGCTGTCCACGGACCCAGAGGATCCGCGCCGTTGGCGTCTGCTTTGTCGCCCTCTGAGGACAACTGAGTTGCCGTGTTCATTTTTGTTATTATTATTACTCCGAGAGCTGCTGTCGTGCAGGGCTTTGGGGAACGTTCCAGGTTTGTGTCCCTCCGGTAGATAAAAGAAGATCATGCCATCATCTTCATCCTCTTCCACGTTGGGACTGTGGTCAGGGACGGGAAAGTTGTTCCTGTGATTCTGTTCATTTACAGTCATTTCTGACCCAGTGTGACATGGTCCAGGAGGAGCAGATTTGGGAGGTGATGTAGACTGTCTCTCTGAAGATTGATGACCCACACTGAACGGATCGAAACCCTCTAAATACATGCCTCCTCTTTTACCGGAGCCAGCCACTGTGCTGTGACTGCGAGCGCGGGTTACAGGGCTGGGCGTGCTCACAGCACTCCCACTACTTGCCTCTGATTGGCTGCTACCGGTGCTGCCAGTGCTGCCATTACTGGCTTGAGTGGAGTAGGGCACTGTGCGGTTCCTGTTAAGTGTCATTGTTTGTGTGGGGTTGCGGTGGTGGTTAAGGTTGAGATTAATACTGGAGATGTCTACACAGTTGAGGCTCCGGAGCTTGTCATCGTCCAGCCCCTCTTTGATGACAGGACCACTGATCTCAATCTTTGCACCATTGGTGCTGCTCTTCTTTTTTCTCTTTGAGGTACTGCCACTGCGCAGACGTAGACTCTCCATCCTCTTCAGAAAGCTCTTTGCTCTGGATCGAGTGCTTTTGCTGCTTCCTCTATCCAAACTACCTCCTCTTCCTGAAATACCCGTTTTCACATCAAAGTTGAAATGTCCTTGTGTTTCCAAGGGCGACGGGGGCATTCCATCTGACAGAGAATCCTCATTAGCACAGCCAGAGCCCGTGCCAGAGGAGGAGCACATACTAGCCACCGAGCTGGCTCGTGTGGCCCCAGGGGGCACAGCCTCACTCAGGCTGGTGAGGGGGTTCTTGTCCTCAGCTCTGCAGCCGCTTCCGCTGCTGTGGATAGAGCCCACCTCAGGCTGCTCACTCAGATCAGTAAGCACACTCTCGGAGCTGTTGCCTTCTCGCAGGAGCAGCTTGCCATTCTGTGACACCTGGTCTTTAGGAAATGGAGGCATGGTGTCGTCTGTGTGGAGTGAGAAGACATCCAGCTCATCCATCCGGGACCAACGCTTGCTGTCCCTTTGGAAAGTCCAGCGGCCACTGATGGCACAGGGCTCATCTTCATCTGAGTCTTCACTCTGAGGGAAAAGACAATTTACAGGTAAGCTTTAATCTGGCATTTGTATTCAAAACGCTGTCAACATATTGTAGAAGTTAAATGCCCAGGCCACGCTGGTGATTTCACTCTTATGACACTACAGCCACACAGACAGGAGTTTCTTAACCTGGATCTTGTGGTGGAACATATGACTGATGAAGCAAAGATATCAGTGCTTAGTAAACATGTCTGTGTGACTTCCTAACCCAGACCTCACATCGACTACCAAGGATGGCCAATACTGAACCACATCCATTCACTCGTACTTACAACATGCACACTCCTCCCCCAGTGCAGTTAATGTATCTTGGGCCCTGGGGGGACTTCAGGAAATTCCAACTTGACCCCCATAGCTCTAAAGACAGCCGGCCAGACTAAGGCCAATGCTCAACCATCTTTACCCTGCTGTGTGAATGGACATGCACAGACAGCAATTTGAGCCTAGGCTGCTGATCTGCTGATGCACCTTAAATCCCACAAGACAACCAAATAAGTAGACATTTAATTTTCAAACACATGTATTCTAGGTTGTTGTGACCTGCCACTGTTCTGTAACAGAGTGTTCGTTTTTATAGCTCACACTGGGTTCAGCCAACTATTTGAGCTACTTATTCTCAGCTTGATTTCAAAATGACCATAATCAAAAAGGGAATGTGAAGAAAGAAGATCAATGCATTCCTAATCCTTGTCTGGGGGATGAGGTCTCAAAGATGGCATAGGCTATAACCTCTTTGACTTCTGTTCTCTGTAGACTCCCAATATTGTGAGGTGACTCGAAGGGGTCATCCTCATAAATGCAGCCACACACAGAACAAGGACATACTATGAATGAGTGGGGCAATTACAGGAATTACGTTTGATTATGACAAGTCAGTGTAGATCACAGTCGAGCTGGTTCTAAACGAATAACTAATGAGCAAACATTTTAAGGTAAGACACCTAATATGCCCAAACAATAGGATAATACAAACTTTTTAATTTTTACAAACATTTTTTAAGAAGATTTTTATTCAAATCTAAGTCTAATGTTCTAACATGTAATTGCCCTAAAAAGTAGCCAGTGCAGTAGAGGGTGTATTTTAGTTGGAAGGCTAAATTGAAATGTCATTGCGTAACTTCTTCATACAGATTTCTTGAAAATATGATTAAACAAGCCGATAACGTGTAAACATACATGTTTTTTTCCCCCACAGATCATTGGGCCTCATTCACGAACGGTTCTTAGGAACAGATTTGTACGTAAATCCTACTTACGCGGTTTTTACGAAGAAAGTGGCATTCACGAATATTTCTCGTAACCAGAATTTCTCTTGGGCAAGTACAAATCCTACGAGTCCTCAGGAGCACTCGTACGCATTCAGTGCCGACATGTTCACACGCCGGGGTTGTCCTCTTTGGTGAAGTTTAATAAAAATACAACATTCCAGTGATATGTCCGTCAAAATGATGTATGTATTTATTTATTTGTAGTAATCTTTATTTATATACCGCCTTTTTCACTGCAGATCTGGCCTACTTTTTAATTCATTTTGAAATGAAATGTGCCAACGCTTTATCAAATACATTGGAAATCTTGCCGTGTATTAGTGACCCCTTCCTATTTATAGGGGGCATTTCTTTATCCACGGGCCACAGAACAACGGCATATATACTGCTGCTGCAGGAGGTTACTGGGTCCGCATTGAGTCTCTGCGCTGGTCTCTCCTATGGATCTATACGGGTCTGCACTGGTCTCTCCCATATACGGGTCTGCACTGGTCTCTCCCATGGATCTATACTGGTCTGCACTGGTCTCTCCCATGGATCTAGACGGGTCTGCACTGGTCTCTCCCATATACGGGTCTGCACTGGTCTCTCTCCATACGGGTCCGTGCTGCATGCTCCTGGATCCATACGGGTCCGCGCTGGTCTCTCAAGTCTGGTCTATGCGGTCTATCTTCGGTCCGCGCTGGTCTCTGCGCACCGGTCTCTCCAGTCAGGTCACTCCAGTCTATGCGGTCTCTCCTATAGGTCCGCGCTGGTTTCTGTGTGCTGGTCACTCCAGTCTCTCCTCGGGTCTGCATTGGTCTCAGCGCTGGTCCGCGCTGGATCTCCTCCCAGGGTCCAACATATTTTGAGATTAATCTCAAAACATTTTGAGATTCATCTTTAAAATAATACATAATATATTTTTAAATTAAGCTCATAACATTTTGAGATTAATCTCATCATATTCTTAGATTAATCTAGTTCGAAGCTAGTTCGACTTTATTATCATAATATTTCGACTTTTAAGTCAACATTTTATAATTTTATTCTCAGTCTGGTAAAAGAAGTGTAACTCTTTGCTTTAGGCCTGTTGCTGTTTCCTCTGCCGTCTGCACACGGCCCTGCAGTCCCTTATATGGGCATTAGTGGGCGGTTACTTATGCTAAGTACCTATGCTAATGAAGCACCTGGCACGCGCGCTGTACTTACGAGGAAATGGGATTCATCAATCTGAGAGAACAGCTGCGAACAATTCAGCGGCTTACGAGTGCGTTGATGAATCCCACGTGGGGACTTCTTAGAAATCTACTTAAGGACAACTTGGGAAGAAAGTTGAGTAGTTTCTTACGAAGTTATTCGTGAATGAGGCCCATTGTGTGTTAAATATGTAACAAAGATGTCATTGTCAAAGGTACATCTAACCACCATTTCAAGGCCACAAAAGAGGGAAAAACAAAACATCTAAATATGTAGAACATGGCAAAACCAGAAGTGAAAACATATACTAAGATTTGTTTACAGGCGAGCTTGTGCTTACTCGTTTTCTTTGTGGTGATATCTCCAGTCTCATTAGCGCACACTTGTTTAAGGTGTTCAGGCGCCTGCAAACAAACAACATCAAATCAGTGACAATAAACAACAATAACCCTACTTTCACTACTTTTGTAACCAGCAGGCGAGAAATAGAAATACAAGAAGACTATAAGAGTGATGGAGAAGCATCCGGACCGCTAATGAGCTGGTGACAGATCATCCCCACGAGAAGCCTGTTGATGAGTAGAACAGGATCCAGAAGAAAGAATTGGCGCGGACATCTCAGGGAAGAGGTTTGGAGTTATGTCGGGATGTGTGTGGCAGGGGCTTATCCCCTCTGCTACCTAGACAAGGGGAGTAAGGCTTGTGCTCTACCCGCTGGAGAGCTCTTATTAGAGGAGATCGTGTAACAATAGCGCAGAGAAGGGATGAGGAGTTTGGGTAATCGGGGGGAGTCCAGACGTAGGCAGGCGCTCAAGGGGTAGGACATTGAGATGATAACTTCCAGATGTATAGTGGGACACCTGCTGTGGTTTATAACTCCAGTGAGCTGACTTTGATAAGAGAGTGAAGTCTATCAAATACCCATTAGCTTTCTACTCATGCGCTAATTTATGAATGTTACTTTCTTTCATAAATTATAATACATTTGGCATTATGCCAGTACAGTGACTATAAGCTCGATGAGTCTTCCAAAATGCTAAAACTGAAGAAAAAAGAATCCAGCACTTATAACAGTCCATGGCTCCATGGTGCTTATCACAGCATTCTTTCATCTCATCAGCAGCATTTCAAAGCAGGCCTGGTATTGAAGTCATGCCCACATGGTTTCTTTAAGGGAGGGAACAAGTGATAGTATAGAAAGTGGGAGATTAGAAAGCATTGTACGTGACATGAAAAGATTATGAATAGGGGAGTATAGTTCACCTGCAGAGAGCTTCAATGGCATCGCGATCCAGAAAGTCATGATCTCTGGTGACAGAGCAGATGTCTAAGGGAAACTGGGCATCTGAAAAACACATAACACTTGGGGTATGACCAAAGTCTATACTAGGGGTGGGCAATGATGATCTCCTCCACAGGGCGGGTTGAGATATCGCCATATTGTGAAGCACCGGTTTAATCTTGGCTAAACATACTTACTATTTTCTTTCAACACTTAACAACTAATATTTAAATATAATAAAATAGAAAAACTAAAAGATAGGTTGGGGAACATTGATGCCAAGATACTGTGATGGTCAGATATCACAATAACCACAAAATAGCTCCGTTTCCGCATCTGTGGCTATTTTTTTGTTTCAAACTTCACACAAAGTGCTAATTGTATTTTGAGAACAGTACAACTCAACGGAATACTTTTTTTTGGTGTAACATGCCAGGGTAACTCCTGTTGACTTCTATTCATTTCAACTTCGGCAAAATAGATTGGTCAGGAGTATCAGTACATGGTTAACAAACGGGAAAATGGGCTGTATGAGGCCAGCAGTCTTCAATTTGCCTAGGTCTGGTCTTTACCAGTACCTAACCAAGACCAACCACCTACTCCTATGCCCACCAGACCCTTTCATCCCACCTTCTCCCCTACATGGACCTCATGAAAAGCTAAAAGAGGAAGTGGCTTCTTAGTCGAGCAAACAAACACAGCTGCAGCTTTCAGAGCGAGCAGGCAGGGGGGATGTGGAGCACACAGCAGAAGCAGGGGACTGACTGAAGAATGACAATAGGCACTCCAGCACTTCCTATAGTCCTCCTAGCTCTTTCTCTGTAATACACTTAATTAACAGAAACACTTGTTCACTAAGTCACAATTTGGTCAAAGGTTCAGTAGAGCATAAAGAAGGAATTTGAGTTTTTAATTTATTTTGCAGTATGTAATGGATGAAGAGATGTAACCTGGCCCAACCCATAATGGGAATCTTCAAACCCTGGGGGATATGATGATAAGAAATGCTTGTTGTAGGGAGGCCAGCGCATTCAGCATGCTGTCGTGAAACCGGCTAATCAGTCTCCTCATCTTTAGTGGGGCTATAGTCATACCATGGAGATTTTCTCTTGGATAAATATGAGATTGAAAATTAGTTGTCAATCAGCATGGAATCCCTTAAATGGCTAGTATTGTGCAGTAAAACAGGTTTGATTGATTGCCATTTGGGATTTCTGTGCCTGCTATGCCTGTGTCTCAACACCTGAGCCTGAGCACAATGGACTTCCCATTTATAAAGGAGACCCTTCACGGTTAAGTGGCAACAAGCAATCTGTTCACAAAGGTAGCTTAGCGCTGCTCTTAACATCCTCTAGTTACATAAGGGTGAGCAGACGGACCACAGTATGCAATAATGTAGAAGCTGCTATATGAAGTGTAAAGACTCTTTGAACCATTGTGGTCCATGTGTGTTTAAAAGGTTGGGGTCAGAAATATGCCTCAGACCATAATTTCAGTCATTCACCAATCGGACTTATGGATGACTGACTGAGACTCAGACACACTTGTATGCAGGTTGCAGCCACATAATATACAGGTTAATGTTTGTGGTTGGTGCATAGGAAGAGCAAAGGGTTGGTGAAACAACACGCCCTTCAGTCCTCAGGAATGTCCTGCTACGTGTGGTAGAGCAGGCACAAGCACTACTTGTTGGTGTTTGTGCAACAAAAAGGGACGTTGTGCTCAGTCATAATACATAAACAAATCAGACTCTTATGCCAATGGTCAGAAGACATGCAGTACGATTTTGTTGTTACGCCTGGCCTTGTATTGTGACGCGCTCGTGTCGCCTTTGCCTCTCCCATGATCCTGCAAAGCACTGGTAGGCCTGTGTTCCCATCAACTACAATCAACTTTTTTTGGATTGCCTTTGCGACAGTTTTTAAACAAATTAACACAATTTCAAAACTGGAAGTTATGCCAGTCGCAGCTAATTAAATTGAGCCTCATCCGCAGGTAAGTACACACCATGTTTGCCGCTACACTCACTGTGTTGTGTTGTTTTCTTTGTTTCCTTTACAGGGAAAATGACAGCAGACATGTAGCTTATCTTACCTTCATAAAGTTGAGCATACTGTGGGAAACCAGCAGCCCGGAGCCACGTACAGGCCTCTTTGGCTTCAATCTCTGGAAGAAGAAAACAAAAATATATTATTAATGTGCACTAAACAACCAACACACAAAACACAAGTGATTGGAATATTATAAAAATAATTCCAATCAATTAAATAGATGAATAGTCTGGAAAATTCAATGGATCCATAGAATTGGTTCCAGAGGCCTAAAGTGAACCGTCTGACCCCTCATGAGCTACAGTGTGTCACACTCAGTCACTCTCTTCTCACATGCTTACAAAGCTACAGCTCAAAGCATCATTCATGCAAACAGTGTTAACCCCATCACAGAGTAGGTGTGGGTTCTTAAAGCTTATTAGGAGTCAGGTAACACTCAGGCGTTCCATGTTCACACAGAGATCAACAGTGTAAAATAACTTTGCTGAACCATGCTTCATACATATCTCAGTAAAATGTGACAAAATGGCTTTTTGCTGTATGATGTATTTTTGGTACATGCATCCCACAGTCCTGGAGGCTGAATGTTTTTGTTCACTTCCTGCCAAACACTTCCATAACTCTTTAATGACAAGGTGTGACATTTGGGCTTGTAATGCTAAGTAGTGACTAATGCCCAAACTGTATGCTGGACGAACCATAGGACGACTCTCAATTATCTGTGAAAGTCCTTTAGATGACATTTGCCAAATGGTTAAACATCACAATCGCACAATTCATCCATGCTTTAAGTTTTTTTGTGTGCAAAATAACTAGCTTTCCTCATCACTGATTGTGGTCAGAAATAGGTAATCAAAGACAATGCAAGAGCCAACAATGAACATATTTGAAAGTAGGAAAATGGGATTCAAATCACATTATTTAAACAAAGGAAATGAAATAATTAAAATGTGCTATAGTGGCGAGAAAGGTCAGAGAAAGACTAACCGACTGGGTTCACATACAAGCATTTACATACCGACAACAAGCCTAGACGACAGACAGGACCCACTAACAACAAGGTGTGACACGACCAGCACAACAGCACTTTCTTCACTACTCCATGTGCTGGCTACCTAATAACCAGTGCCGACAGCTTCATCAAATAATGCATTCACAAGCTCTAGTTTCCACAACTAGATTACACAATAGATATGTCAGTGAAGTAGAAGTTTTAGGAAATACTGTAGCAAAGTGTGTCTGTTTTGCATGTTTGCCATTGCATGGATAAAAGTGCAAAGCAGTGTGGGCGAGTAAAGCCCCAAAAACCAAGACAGTGAACCCATTCAAATGTAAATCAGAGATTCATACACATGGTTAGCTTTCCACCCCTCCAGCCTCTACAGAAGACCGCAAAGCGGACTCAATTTGGCTTGTTCCACAAACCAATCTGGTCACTCTTGTCTCACAGTGAGTCTGTCTGGCATTCCACGGACTAGTGTGCAGTAGAAAAGTCACGTTATTAGGCGCACAGATGACCCAACTACATTTCAATGTCTTTATTTTTTGACGCTGGTATACAAATCAACAGTGTAAAAAAATCACCTCAACTTCTTGGGCCAGGTCAAAGAGCTAGCTTCCTTCCTCATACTGCATCCCTCACAGGAAACCAGAAAAAACAGCGCAGTGTTGAATGCGGGCCACCCCTTCATTTGTTCTGAACCTGATAATTGATAAACGGGCTGCTATGGCAAACAAAGTATGAGGTAGCCTTTCTACAATGACCTAATATCCTTGCGGCTGGAAAGAAACATGCAAGTGTGTCAATGAAGAAATGAAAAGAGAGGAGACTACGTCGACAGAGGGAGGGCCTTTAATATGCAAGCATCATCCAACGTTTGGGCAATATATGCTCAGGTAACCTCTGATATACACAATAGGATCAGGCATAACGACCATACATTTACTTCACACTGGACCAAGCCATGACAGAAGTTTGGCTGGAAGTCCCTATATGGAATACCCGATAGTTTGTCCCATAGTATTACTACAGGCTCTTTTTCATTTGGTGAAATACTGATTCAGACAATACATGCATGTCACAATAAAAATAAATATTCAGAGATGTCTTGCAATAAATAATATTGAAACAACAATATTTATCAGTAAAAATCATTATAAAAATAGAATTGACCAATAATTATATCGAACTGATTCATTGTGCTGACATTGTATAATAAAGCAAATACAATAGGTATTTTCTTCTCACTATTACAAAGAAAATGTAAAAACTATACATTTTGAGCCCCAAAATACAATGCAATCAAATACAATGCTAAATTGGCACAGTGATCCTCAAGATAACATCTGAGATTTCTCTCATTTTGGCCAGGGCAGTTCTGTTTCTCTCAGGCCAAAAGCAGTACTTACTATAATTACCCATGCCTTTTCTTTCTTCTTCCTGTCCACTCTGTGCTTGTTGCTTGCTTCAACCCAGCTCTCCCCTTTTTGCTCTCACTTTTCCTGTGGCAGGAAATTCTCACAATTGCTGGCCAGAACTTCCACTTGTAACAGGAGGCAGTCTGGCTTGGCTGAACCTAGATGCATGGAGTTTGTCAGTGACTATGGCCGACAAAGCCATCACTGCAAAACGTCATAGACGATGCAATAGCCAACTGACGGAAAAGACACTCATTAAGACATCATTCAGCTCAGATCTTTGAAGTTTTTGCACAGGGATTTCTTAACTGACAACAACTAGAGCTGGCTTATCTATACATGATTATTGCCAGATCTTGAAGTTTGGCCTGTAAAGCAGCTAAAAGAGCTTTTTATATCATCTGGGTAAGCCTGAAGGTGCCGTGAAGTGAATCTAGACAGGTGAACTGATAAGGGAACCCCAGACATTGTGGCTCTCAGTCAGCAAATGGTCAAGAGACTAAACAATGGAGAGGACTTCAACTCAGGATATGTAAAGAAAAGTTAAGATGGGGCATTTTTTATGCTTAATCACAAATTTTAGTACAAGACAGCCAAGCACAGATGTAAGACGAGCTTTTATTTGTCCATCCAATGGAATGCTAAGATAAGCAATATCAGATTTTCCCTCGATGGATATCACATTTTACACTTGCATGGCTAGGGCAGCTGCTGTGAGAGAAGTTCTGCTTGTTAGAGGAATGAGCCAGTGCCAGGGATACCATGACCATCTGGTGGGCTTCAGGCAGTGCCGTTGACATACAAGCCAAAGTATAATGAGGTTACTACTGTTGTCACGGTCCATTCCAAGAGTTATATAGGACCAGCCGGCTCTGCTCACTCTTACAGCTGGTCCAGCTGGATCAGGGTGGATACAGAACTGCCCCTGGAGGGCTTAAAGATGATGACGACAGATTTATGTTCAGATGGGGGCACAGTGAACACTGATCATGTGATCATATAAATTATATATCATAACAATACATGCTCTAAAGTTTAGGACAACTGAATGGTAAGTACAGCATTGACACTAAGTTGCACACTTCAGTTACAGTGTCAGATGGGATGCAGTCCCTTTACACACATCCTGTTTTACAAAGAGTGCCAATGAGGCGCGTTTTTCTTATCAGCTTCTCTCCTTGCTCTGCGCCAACTCCCATAAACATGTCCTACCAGAGCGCGCACTGACATAATTACAGACAGACGTTCATGGCTGGTACGTTTCTGTGTGTCAAAGGGATATTTTCATTCCCAAAATAAGACACACTGAAAATACTGTCAAGCTCTGTCAATGCGTGCAGGTTGAAATCTGAAAACCCCTCTTGTTGTGAGCTGAGTAGCAGAACGTGACCAATGTCACGTTCTTATGGCAATGGAAAAAAAGAAACTTCATGCTTACTTGCCCCCAGTATTAAATGGGGTATCAACCAGTAATCGTATAGCATAAAAACACGTAAAATACCGTGAAACAAGAGACCCAGAGGGTAGAGAGGACAGGTTGTATACACTCGCAAACCTATGTCACTCAGCAAAAGGTGCCCAATTTGGCAAACGGCAGAGAGCACTTGAGCAAACTGGCGGCGCTGATGCGACTGGTCGTGTAGACTTGTATAGTCTGAATAATGCCAAAGACACAAAATATGTTCTAGGCTGGACTTTGCTGTTCACGGGCTTATTTCTCCACACGAATCCCACCCGGATTGATTCAAGTTTAAACAGCTGCCAACTCTATACGAGTCCAATTAGAATCCCACTCATTTTAAATCCATACTTTTCTATCTAAATACAGGGTTGATCACAATAATAAAACAATCTGGGCGAATTTAAAAGTCATTTTAAAATACAGAATGGCTGTGGTAAGTCCTAGTACTAGTTGCGCATCCAGAACCACTACCACAATTAAGTGAAAGATTCATTAACCCACAAACGCATCTTCTGCCCTCTAACACCAAATCAGTAAGGCCTTTTAATTCGTATATTGGCCAACTTGTTATTATAGGCCAGTACAGTGTGCGCGATATAATAGGCTGTAATCAAGACCTCCTGACTCTGTATTACTACTCCAACTTTTACGCACAACATTTGGCTTCTTACCATTCAAAATGCCTTATAAAGTAATAAAGCAGTCTAATGCCCAAGCAGGACTTACGTGTTAATATCATCTCCACTGGCCTTCCCGACACCATCTGCACACAACGTAACTCCAGAATACAGCAGTCCAGTCACCTTTATCCCCGGTCAGCGCATGATAAATCCACTCAAACAGAAACGCGCTGTTGTAAATGACCATTAGTTGTAAAGCAAAATCCCAAATCCATCATATCTCATGTCAAGTTTTCAATACGCTTGTACAAGGAATCAAAATCCCCGCTTTCCCGACTTCTCTCCAGCGCTGTGAGCTTGAATGGAGCGGTCCCCGTCAGGAATGTGAATGAGGAGTAGATGTGATTCAAGCTTAGGAATGGTGCAATAGCGCTTTGACTCCGCCTCCCACCTCTGCACTGATAAGACGCGCGCAGATCGCTCACACAACCCACAGGTAGTGATATTATCGTACAATACCGTGCTGTAATAATGTACTGTATTGCCTGTTCGTTTTCATTCGTATCCATAATTGATTTATTTGTTTTGCGCACTGGTCAACCCAAAAACCCAAAA